GCCAACATACACTATTTCCAGATGTGCCTGATATGGTGAATGAAAGCAGTGCCACTCTGATGTCACTCCAGTTATATCAGTATTCATTGCAGTTTTGTGAAGTATAAGTCAAGCATTTAATGATTCATTGTATACTAATTCTACAGCACTGAGAATTGCTTTTCCAGTACTGTCTAATTTTAAAATACAGGACAAAACTGCATCAGGCACTACATCAGTGCCTTAGAGAAGACAGAACACCCCACAGAGAAAACTTCTAGTATGAAAAACTGTTTGCCTCTATACAAAGCAGGGCATTGTCCAGATAACAGCATTAGTCCTAACATCACTTCCATTCCGAGGATTTAAGACAGCCTCCAGATTAATATTAACATCTTTAGCAACTAGTGAGCACCTTTTGTCAATTTCAGGCAAAACCTCTATGCATTTGTCAGATTTCTAAGAGATATTACCTTCCTCCCAGAGTGAGACTGAAGTATGAACTATTCTATAGCCACATTTGATTTTAGTGTAAAGATTGAGGAATTTGCTTTAAACATCTTAGGTGAACTCTAAACCTTAATTTCCTTAAGCAAATACTTACAGCCACAATAGTGGTTAAAAAATGTCTTAGATGCCTACCCATGTATTTCCTGGAAGGTTAACATGATTGACTTCTTCAGTATTTCACTCTATTTGAATTTTACCCAGAGATATTTCCTACAGTTGCTGGTCTATCAGCGATTTTGCTGAATGATGGTTCTTTGCAATTTTTCTCATAAAGCAAAAATAATCTCTGACAGTAGCATTAGAAAATTTTACAATAATGCAAACAACAATTAGCAGTAAAGAACAATCAAATAGTCATAATTGAATTTATAATTTGTTCTAATGTCAATATTCTGTGGTAGGGTATGTAGGAAGTTTAGAATTGTGGGTGTGAGAATCTACTGGAAAAACTTAATATGCAGAATTACTGTATTTCTGAGTTATTTCAGATGGAACTTCTGTAATCACTGGACCTATACCACAGAATCTCACTGAACCCGATAAATTTAATCCCTATTGATTTCAACATATTTATTAGCTAGTCATTCATTTCTGGTTCCTCTAACTAGCTGCTTAAAACACAACAGTTATACACGTTGAAGCTCAAAGTTGACATCCAAAGGAAACAATACTGTTAGTTGCTACCTTATCCTGAAGGCATCCAAGCATCTCCAGCTTTTGGCTTTAGCCTCTGGTGTGTCATTTTAGACTTCAAGAGCTTGTACCTGTAAACAATAATTTTCTCTAAAAATAAAAAAATGCAGAAATCAGACATATTTGGCAACACTGACAAATGAAAAGAAAAATGGATATAAAATAGATTAGTAACTAATATAAATTATGATAGCTAATATACAGTGCTGGCAAACTGCTATTCAAATGGTCTGTTTCTATGAATGCTACTGCAGCATCAGGTGTTATTTTACTCAAGTTTTTATTTCTGCACTTTATGTGGAGTATAGTACTACATTTACATACAGTAGTTAGTTTTGGCACATAATAGTCAAGCAAACAAAGATTCCTGGAATTAGAAGGAGAACTTCCAGTAAAACAAAGGTTGAACTCATTAAAGTTCAAATGATATCCAAACTAAACATGACTAATCTGCAGAGGCTACATGTTACTATCTTTAATTTCTGTTTTTTTTGTTTTTTTTTTCAAGTGCTGTGGAAGTAGAGTGTTTAAAGTCTCACATCTCTTCTCCATAAACTTCTAATAAATTTTCTGATACTACTCATGCTTTAGCAGACCCATGGTTTGGGTTTCTGTGGTGTTTTTTAGTCATATTAAATCCCCTCTCTTTTAAACCAAATGCTCATTTAGATCCACTATCAAAAGACAGCCTTACTGATTTTACAGGAAACCTAGAATTGGCATAGGAAGTGGTGACCTGAGCCCTATATTTTAATTATATGTTTTCTGTGTATTTTGTAGTCATTTATTTTCTCCACAAGAACAAGCTGGTGTGAGCATTGCCAAACATTTCTTTCCTGCTTGAAATCGTTATGTTTATCCAGGGATGAACTAGTAGGAGGAAGCAAACAAGAACAAGGAGATAAAAATATCACTATAAAATACCAAAACAGCAAAAGATGAAGTCCAAGTTACTGCATATTTCATTGTATCAGGAAATATGAGAAAGCAGACAAGAACATATGCTGTCTGTATTGGTACATGCAGTATTTATGCATCTTTTAAAATAATGTTTAACAATTAATTTACAAGGGAAAAAAAAACACCTTGATACTACTATTAATATGAAAAATCAGGTTACATTAAATGATGTCAATAAATTGTGGGGAACTGAGTAAATAAACCACGTGGACTTGGCTTCATGGCTTGCCAGTGCAGTCTCTGTGTCTAATCAGATAGCCCAATTAGGCAGGAATATGCAATAGACACTGAGTAGCATTTCTTTAGAGGAACTGATGGTAAAATTCAAGTGTAATGTTCTTGAAGGAGAAGTAAAAGAGGTAATATTTCATTTGGTAATTAGTTTCCTATAAAGTTGTCTCTCGAAAGTCAAGTTTTTCTGCAGTTTTGTGATCTCTGGCTCTAGTGAAAACAAAAAGTAGAACAATAAAGCACCTAGTAAAACTAAGACTTAGTAACCCAATACTGGATTTCTCATTCCTTTTTTTTCAGAGTTAGGGCTTCAAGTACAATTTGGTGGAACTTTAAATGAGGTGCAAGTATTTTTGAGGAAGTAAATTAAATTGGTCGACAGGTTGTTAGTAGAGCTGAACTTCTGCTTCAGCAAAGAAGAGCAAGCTCCCATGTTTTACTGACTTTAATATTGTTAACTTAATGTGAGAAGCTAATGCCTGTTGAATTCAGTGAGGAACAGCTTGAATCCACAACATTTCTGATGGCTTCAAGGAACAGAACTATATAGGATTATAAGGGAGTGCAGCTGATAAAATGAAATATTGATCTTACTAAATTAAATGGGAATTTTACTGTTCCCTTAGAGAAAACTGAAATGGTTATCAGATTATTTCAGTTAAGCTAAAGGATGATTGGGTGAGCTGGCTATGAAGGCTCATGAATAATAATAATACCAGTGATAAAGAAGATATCTCCTTCATCAAGACTTGATCAGGACTAAAAACAATGAAGAATTAAAAAATCATCACCATTGTGCTTTTAAAATTATGTATAACCTATTTAAATAGCAATATTAAAATTGCTTTCTCCTTACTTGGATGCCTCTACAGTATACTCCATTATTTCAAATTAATACTGGAAGAAGATTGAGCTGAAATACTGCCTTGTCTGAGAATCAAATAAAGCTTCATTAGAATAACTAGTTACACTCCTTCTGTTAATATTTTCAGGGACAAAAATGTAATTATCTTTCTTGTCAAAAGAAAACAGACGGGGGCGGGGGGGGAAAGGAAGACCTGGGAACATAATTAAATTATGGAAGATCTAGATTACAACTCCAGTGAAAAATGTGAGACAAATTGGGTAGGAATGTAAAAGTATCAGTTCTGACTGAAGCAAGAAACTTATGCAAACAATGGGAGGAAAAAATCCCTACCTTTTTTAGAACATTTTGAGATGTGTGAAAACTACAAATGCTAGAACTGTGAATAGGAAACTGGGAATTTGATCCATATGTTCTGGAAATGCCACTGCCCACAGCTAAATTATTTTTGGAGAACAGAACAGGGAACTGAAGAACAACTGCTAAAGCTGTTATAAACACAGGGTCTCCCTGGTGATGCAGAGATCTTACCATGACAGATACTAGTGACTATTACCATCTGAATGCCATATATGAATAAATCATCTTTGGTGTGTTCTAGAATAATTACAAAGGAATATGATATTAATTACGAAGGAATATGATATTATTGATCAATTTTCTCTCTCATTCTCTTGAGGAGAAAGCATTTCACTAACTCTTAAGGGGAAAAAATGCTATTCAGGATGGTTCACACATTGATTTTCTTCATAAAGGTGAATATAATTTAACAGCCTGAACTGGTCTCAGTAATTCTTATGCATTAGGGAAGATCATAGTTTAAGCTCAGGATGCTCTTTATCATGGTATATTTTTTCACAGTGGAATATTTTTTAAAACTGCGAACATATGAAATAGCAGTGGACAGATTCTGCTACTCTCTAAAAAGCACATCATGCTGACTGCAAGTGAAAAAATGCCAATTAAATTGAGGAACCATTTACTTGTTCACAGGAATGTGTGATTGGAAGGAATGAACTTCATTTGTTCTGCTTTCAAAGACAACCAACCCTGATATTTTTATTCTGTACTTTTAACAGCAGAATCTTCATACCAGTTGGCATCTTCCACTTTCTACCTGAAGGCTAACCCTGGCAGTTATTCCTTGGACAATCTGATAGCCTGCATTTCTCACATTCAGTTTATTCTAGACAGTCAGAACCCATTTGTACCAACTCTATCCCTCTAGTATGTAACAGGTACTCTCATAACAAGTTCCTGACAGTAACTCTTGCCACAGAAAGGCATAAAGACCAACACAAAGAATGGTAGATGTAAAGAAAGCAGTATATATATACATTTTTTTGGCCATACCAGCAAACTCTCCCTGAAAAAGTTGAGAGGTGTTTCTAAAAAACATTAAATGATGGCAGCTACATACCATCTCCTTTGTTCTTGTTTAGAAAAGAACTGCATTGATCCATGATGATCTGTAGAACACCCTTCCCTCACAACAGCCACTAAGCAAAACCCAGCAACAAAGTTGTGACAATAATATTGAAATAATGAAAAAATTAGTTTCTTTTATTACAAATGACATTTGAAAATTATATTTATACACCTCTGGTTTGATACTAATTTTTACTCTTTTTGAAAAAATGTCTTTTCAAAGAAATTGGTGAATTCTGCAAATAGAGTTCTCTGCACAGATAATCATCAAACTTGAACAGACCCTAAGCACAGCTTTTATTTTTCGTGTCTTTATTCATTCTTTTCTACATAGTATTTGTGGAATTCAGCATCTGGAACGAGCAGGAAACAGGTTGACTCTCTTTGACTCCCTTTATTTCTGCATAGTGACATTTTCCACTGTGGGCTTTGGGGATGTTACACCCAAGATATGGCCTTCAAAGCTGCTTGTTGTCATTATGATCTGTGTTGCTCTTGTGGTGTTGCCCATACAGGTAAATGTGATTTTTTCTTCTCTTTAGAATTGTTTTAATAATGAAAGAATAATTACTGAAATAATTTGTTACTATTATTATTGCATGTAAAATGTCAGAAAAAATAACCGTCTCCTACATCTCTTATTCTAGTTAGTTGGTTTTTATTTTGTCTGTTCTTGTATGGTCTAGATTACACTAAAAACCAGAGCACTAATAACAGTTTCCAAGTGTTGGTGAAAGCTTGCTGTTCCTGTCATGTGCCACAGAGCCCTTTCTTCATCCTGAGATTTATTAATGGAACAATTAAAAAACAAAACAAAAAATCCAGTAGCAGGCACTTTCTGTATGAGTATTGCATTTCCTCTACAGACTCTCCCTGCTTCTAATCTTGGTTCTTTCCACTTCCTCTCTTACAGCTCAGTGCTAACTTGAAAGAAATCTCATTAAATTTGCAACTCAAGCAAATTGGGTTCTCAGCTCTGTATGTTGGTGTACACATACACACACACAGAGCCAACAGTAGTTAGGAATTTTTGATGCCTACTTAAGTTTAGGACTTCTAACAGTTTCAACAGGCAAAGGCTGATTTATGAAGATCAAACTATTACATTATTTACATGGGAGGCCCAAACCCTGCCAAGATGTCACTTGTTCCACACTTGGTGGTCACCCAGACCTTGTGCCACAAAAAGGAGATGTGGGGAGACATTGTGCTTGCTTATCAAACCTTCGTGTTAGATCTGCCAGACCATGAAGCTCCAAAGTTTCTCACACAGCCTGAGCTTCCAGATTCTGCTTATTTGACAGTGAACTAAAGCTTACTGTGAGCAGACAACACAGAAGTCGTGGAAGGTTGTAAGCTCAAGCTTTCAGAATTAATTTTCTTGAAATTACACAGACATTTTAATTATACATAACTATTTAATGTCTGCCATACCTAGTTATATGCACTAACACAACTATATTTCCACTCAGTGGAAATCTAGTAAAATATTTATTCTACTGAAAACTAAAATATGTTTTGTTTAAGAAATTTGCAGTTTCCTAGGAAATTGAAATTTAATCTTTCAGGAAGTTCTGATACACACTTCAGGTGTAAGAGCTCTGCATTAGCAGTAAATAACCTGGAACCTACTGCCCTTCCACATAAATTTACCTGTTATTAGTGACTTTGTTTTATAGCTTTGTAGAGATAATGGGGCTTCATATATTTTTCTATACACAGAATGTAGGAGGCATTTTCTCCTTACCTTTTGTCCTGCTATTATATGAAATAAATTATTATTATTAATGGTCCAGTCTCTGTATCAGTTGAATGAGGATAAAAAAAAGCAGCTGTTACACAGATACATAGTTACATTGAGCTCAGTATTAAATGCATATAACTAGCAAGAAACTTTGAAATGGTTACTGATTGCTATAATGTCACTGTTACATTATTGTCTTTAGTCTAAAGGATGTAGACTAGTAGAGCAATGTTTACTGTTAGCCTGCATATATTGTTCTCCTGGCAAAGGCAAATTTGCTGTATTAGCAGCTGCTGTGTATTTAAGTTGAATCTAAATTTATAAAGACAGACAAAAGAGTATACAGTCATCTTCAGAACATTATAAAATCTCTGAGAAGAGTTATTGCCCAAACTAAGTCAAATGCTGCTTCTCAGCATCCGTACTCACAAGATACACATTAGTGTATGAAAATTTAACCTTTCACTTGAGGGAAACATTTATGTCACATAGCACTGAAAAAAGATTGCTCAAAGGTATAAAACACAAACAGGAAGTAAGGTGCAGCCTTCATTCTCTAAAATATTGAGATTTACTTTATTCTCATTATATTTTAATGGATTTACCCTGCTATTTGCATGTAGTAGAGACTGGCTCTACTGCCATCATTTTCAATCACCCTGTTATTAATTTTAGTCACATACTAGTTTTTTGTGGGTTTTTTTACGTAAAAACCCACAACATTGTGGGCTAAGGGCATCTTTTCATAGAGGAATGAAGTGAACGATGCAATGTTGTTAAGTCATGAGACAGTTATGCTGTCTACTTGTCTGTATTTCACTGACAATTGGCATCTCTTGCAGTTTGAACAGCTGGCATATTTGTGGATGGAGAGACAAAAGTCCGGTGGTAACTACAGTAGACATAGAGCTCAGACAGAAAAACATGTTGTGCTGTGTGTTAGCTCTCTGAAGATTGACTTACTTATGGATTTCTTAAATGAATTCTATGCTCACCCCAGATTGCAGGTACTTAAAGTGGAAAAAAAAGAAAAACTGAAAACACTGATTTTTTACAGACATGCTTCTGAAATGTTCTTTAATTTGTAAAACTGAGTTTGGGAATAGCTGACTGATTTGGAGCTCTATAATTTCAGTAAGAAGCTGAGGTACAATATGGAGACATTAATTTTAAGTTGAAGGAAAGAGCTTAAATCGATAGAATTACTGTCTTGTTGAGTTATGCCACTCCTTTTAGAAGCATTCCATACAAATTCCTTTTATTCTACCCCAAAACAGAAAATAAAAATTACTCAAATTAGTTTTTCCTGTTGTTTTGGACTAGATTCAAAACACCTCATACGTCAAAGTGGTTTTTGCATTTTGCTTTGTTTATTGCCAGTGTTAGGAAGATTGGATCCTTTTGGAATTGTTGAAATTAAGAAATAAATAGACATACTTCAAAGGACAAAGACCTTGAACAATTACATACAAGAGATTTCTTTAGTGTACACATATTCCCTAGCTAATCCAAACAGATGTCATATATGGCTTGTTTTGATCATATAAAAGCTCATTTATATGAGGTAGCAATTTGGGTTCATTATCACTAGCTTTGCTGCAGATGATTTCTTTCTCTCAATCTTCTCTATGACTTTTACTAAGTTACCTGTGGTACCACGCTTCATTAATCAATGAAAAAAAAAAAAAAGACAAAAATACAATCCTCTTAATTGCTGAGCAGCAATTTGACAAATCCAAATTAAAAATATTCCCCAGAATAATTAGCTAGTAAGAGCAATGAGCAAATGCACAAGTGAATCAATTTCTTTCTAGATCGAAACACAAATTGAAATCCAAAATTTAGTTAACTAGCATGAAGAATGAGTCAGGCTCTGTGATACACTGGAGATGAAGAGTAGTTCTAATACAACTTACATAGCCTAAAAGAGCTTATATACATTCCTTTCACAGCTGAAATGGGAAGCTGGAGGGTACTGATGGTGTTCTGGATTCAGTGCACTAAGCCTTCTCCAAAAATGTATGTGTGCTAAGGAAGACTAATGTGACAAGCCTGTCCTAAGCTCTCAGTCTCCTCACATTCCATTTGTCTCTCCTTCTCCTATGTGAACATGTGTATACTCCTGAACAATCTCAGTTTTCCTGACAAGGACTGTGTGTAGCACAGGAGACACAGTTTGGATCTGCCCATTAATGTAGAGGAAAAAATACTGGGAGAAGATGATTCCATTTCCATTCTTGAAAATCTTCTACATTTTCCAGTTAGAATGAGAGAAGCAAACAAAAATGCTGAGAAAAAAAAAACAACAAAACACTTTCTAAATAGACTTTAGTTGCCACCCTGGGGTCTTTGTGAGCAGTTGACAACTGTTCAACCATTTTTCTTAAAGAACTGAATATTTTAAATGTGTATTCTAATAACATTTATTAGTTAAATTTGAGAATTGTCAGATACATTTTTGACATCCTGAATCTGTTGACTGATTCTGCAGCAAAAATAAACGGTAGCATAAAAAAATAACATGGCTGTTACCCCTTATGTTTTTGACAGGACTATTATGTCGTTATTTTGTGTCCTACTGAGATGGATGCTCAGGTCCGAAGGGTGTTACAAATCCCAATGTGGTCCCAAAGAGTTATCTATCTGCAAGGCTCAGCACTAAAAGACCAGGACCTGTTGAGAGCTAAGTAGGCAAATACTAACCCGTATTGTTTTTTACTTTTGTTTCACTTACATTGTTTCATAAATAATTTTGACAAACAACAAAAGCTCTGCTAGATGAAAAGCATGTGTATTTAGAAATCAAGGCTCTTTGATATATATATATATTTAATATCTGGTATTATTCAAGGAGGATAATCTCTTAATTCTCCAAAGAGAGGGAAGGGTGATTCTTACCAAATAACTGATTTAACTTATCTGCATTGCTCTTTATAAGAGGTAATTCAGCAACTGATACAGGTAACTAAAATTAATTGCAAATAAGATAAGGCTCTTTTCAGGGTTAGGAATTTTCTTTTAGAGAGTGGTTCCTTTTTTTTTTCCTTGCTGATTTCAAGAAGGAATTCTTGTGGGAATTTAGCTGGCATTTTTTCTACACATTAGGACAAGAAAAAATTAGGCTGTTCCCTAAAGATAATCTTGAATTTCACTTATAATAACCTGGAGGTAGTCAACTGTGGAACTGTACTTTTTCTTGCAGAACCTGTAATTGAATTGTAACAGTCACAGAATAGTTTTCAGCCTCTCCTGAGGGAGTAAGTACAGTGGGAATTCAATAGAACATTTAATATGAAATATATCCCAGTACCTGTTTGCTGTATTTCTTTTTAATGAGAACATAGTTTACTGAGATGATAAAAAGGCACATGGTAAACTTATAATAAAGTAATGGTTACCACCACCACCAACAAAATCATCAGGAAGTGTAGCTATCAAAATTTATAAATATATTAAACATGAAATGCATTGTCAAAGTAACACAATAAGGGTTGCACCAAAAAGGAATACCAGAAGTTGACTGACGGCATAAGTTATAAATAGTCAGTTAACTAAAGACTGTATTTTTCTTTTTATGCCCTACTACACGATCTGACTTGACAAAAATGATAACTGTCCTTTCTACCTTTGAAAGCTTCACTTTGCAAAGTTTTGGTGTTCTCTTAACTCTCTTCATGTACTCAGCTTTAACAGAAAAACAGAATGATTTATGTCATGAGGTATCACACTGATACTAAGACTGTTCATCAGCATGACAGGAAACTTCATGGCTACTTCAGAATTGGAAACAACTGATTTAAACAGCTGTCATTCTCCATGCAGACAAGCACTAGAAAGTGAATAATACTCCCATACTTGATTTGTTTTGTCACAACCAATTTTTTTTCTCTGTCGTTCTTTCTTTGGTGAACTGTCACAATTCTTAATCCTCTCACGTCCACTCTTTTTCTCTGCCTTAAACCTTTTTATTTCACAAATTTCTCTCCAGTGCGTGTGTGTGTGTATATATATATATATTATATATCTCACAGAATCATAGAATGGTAGGGGTTGGAAGGGACCTCTGGAGATCGTCGAGTTCAACTGCCCTGCCAGAGCAGGACCACCAAGGAATCTAGGGCAAGTCAGCACTCAGAAATGGCCTCCTGTCCTCACTATTTTGGATATATTGATTTCCCTTTGTTAAAATAACTGAAACAGAAAAACCTTTGTAATCTTTTAAGGCTTCCCTTTTTTTCCTACTGCTAGGTGCATATGGTGAATCTAGAATGACCTGACTGTATCACCTTTCTCTTTTCTTTACACATTCTCTGAATGATCTCATAGAAAACACAAAAATTTAACCACTGTTTCTGTAGTAAAAACCCAGAAGGTTGGCCAAGCTATCTGGTATCTCAATATGGATAACTATTCATCAAATTTAGATAGTTGCAAATAGATCTTAATTTTTGCTAGCAAAATAAACCCAGTTTCCATCTCACTCTTCCCTGTTCTGATCATCCTGTTTCTCTTTGCCCAGAAAGTTCTGTTTTTCAAGAAGATCAACTAAGTCCCTATTTATTTACTTTCATGTACCAATAAGTGAAGTCGGATTCATTGGAGAAGGATATCAAGATCTGAGATGACAGGAAAACCAAATTTGGATTAAACTTTCAGTCAGACAGCTTCTTCTCTGCACTTCCACCACCACTCTCTATTATAGGACCAGTTGTATCCATTAAAGAATAGTTAGACATTAAAAGGTCCCAAAGAGACATGAGCTGAAAATAGTTAATTTATTGCATACATACACATAAATGTTTGTTATTTATCCCTAACACATTTTTTCTACTACATCTACCCATCTTCCTGATATCACTAGGCAAGACAAGACTATATTATCTTATAAATAATAACTTTTACATATCACAGCCTTACATATTCTGCAGACAGGTGCTATTTAGTCACCATGTCATACTCATCGCAGAGATCTCTTTATTTTGCAAATTAAGTGTGTTTGAAAGCAACGTGCTTTTATAATTTTGGCACAGCTTCTAGTGGCACCAGAGAAAGAAAGTTTCCCAGAAAAAAAGTCAAGAAATACTGGTACTTTGTGAGTTAGCGCACAAGGTGACTGCTGCTGACTTCAGATCCTGACTTCAGATAATGCATGAGAACAGACAGACTAAACTTTCTCTGTATTCTGTTTCTATAAGCATACAAGACTGTAACACAAGCCCACATAAGAATCTTGTTGGTATGTAACAGGCTTGTCTCCCCTCTCCTAGAATGGATGATGCTGAAGCTTGTTTCATTCTGAGTAGCCGCTGTGAAGTGGACCGGACAGCAGCTGTAAGTTTTAAAGAAATAACTAAGAATGAATGTGTCTGCTGTTGTGTATGCTCAAACCAGGACAGGTTTTTATGCTGTAACTGCCCTTACTCCCCTTCAGAGACCAAGACTTCTATGAAGAGAAGATTAAAATTAGCTGATTTACACAGAGATTTTGCATGAACTTCTCTCAGTTTACATAATGAAAAGGTTTTGATTGGATTCTATATGGCAAAGATTTCACAAGTTCATGAAACGTGATCAAATGGATCATTTCATATAACATACCCGCTTCTGTTTTTTTAGGAAATAAACTACATGACCTAAGTAGCAAAGGAGTTAGGATTTTATAGCACATCTTAGTTATATATTAATTATTAGGTATACATGTAGTTATATATTATAAATAGAAACAGCAAAATGTGGGAAACAAGTGCTTTGCATTATGTAGGCAGTATTCTCCATCACTTGCTACAATTACTTCATCTGCCATCAAAACCTAGTTGTTTCCATACCTACACATATCAGAGGAGGGTGAACATAAAAAGCAACATAAGATGCAACTAGCAAGAAGAAAGGATTCTTTTAATTGCTAGGTAAGTGACTTTGAAGCAGATTTTACCAAAAATAACTTACTTTTTTGTAGACTGTCAACATGTGGAAAAACAATTTTTTTTAAAACTGAAGACCCTGTGCTAGACCCATCACTTGCAGAAAGCCACTGAACTCCCTGAGAAATAAATCTGCACTCCCACTATAATATTCCAACTTACAGAACTAAGAGCTTTGAATTTGATTAATCAGCAACAGACTCCTGAAAGCACACTAGCAAAAGCCACTGAATTGGCAGCAAGTAATCCTGGAGTAGACAAGTAAGGCAAGGACTCAGAATGTTCTGTCTGAAAGTGACAGAAGTGCTAGGGTATTCAAGGATAAGAACAAGCAACAGTTCTTGCAAGTAACTGGGAAAATACCAGTAACTTCTGAGAGACTGAAAAATACCAAAAAGCCAAACTGCCTAATTTAGCCATGAAGTTCAGAATAAATCAGCTACATCTGATTGCACCACATGTACTTAGCAGTTGTGAAATGGTTAGAAATAAGAAAGCCTGAACAAGCAGAGCATGGGAGTTACATTGTGCTTGGTGGGTTTACGCAGGTGTAAGGACAGTTGCACGAACACAACATTCACTTAGAGAGAGGTAAACAGTTCATCTCTGCTCAACACCTCTCCAGAATTTATACAAGGAAAGGACAATTTTCAACTCTGCTGAACTGTCCTACCAGTCAGACAGTGGACCCTACACAGAGGTCATGGAGCTTCCATCCATTCTGGCCAGCATTACACAGTTTTGGTTTCAGAGTCATAGCCAACCACAGTCTCTCCAGGTAGCTTTTCTCTCCTATGGGACAGTGTCCCCAGAAAATACCAAAATGTTACCTGGCCCTGTTCAGCTTCCAGTACAGACTATTATCAAATCTCATTTATCATTGCATCTGGAGCTTACAAACAGGCAAGTCTTACCAAAGACATCCTCCTGTTTCCTTGATCTGGGACAGAATGCCCCAAAGTCAGTCGTGATGGCTCAGTATCTCAGCAGTAGTAGTGATACTCTTGACGGTCAATGTCACCCAGAGTTTTTAAACAAGATATCACCTTTCTCTATTTTTGTTGCCATTGCTCACAGGGAATGCAATTATTTTTTAATTTGTTTGTCTTATTTTACTGTCTTCTAGAATCCAATGAAATGGATTTAATTTCCTATGCTGTTCCAGACCTTAGTAACTTCTAAGAACTTAAATAACGTAGTACATAAGTTTACAACTCATTTCTGGGCTGAAGGAAGTTCAGTCATCATCTCAGTGTCAATCTTTATTACTACTTTTTTTTTTTTTTTTCCACCCTGCTGTGCTTGAGAAGCTCACAAACTGTTAGCTGTGCCTTGGATCCTCTCCTGTGTCTGACAGCTGTCAAACGAAAACTTAACATACCCTGGGGAGATTCTTGGCAAGAACTGCTGCTTTTAGTCATGTGACTTTTGAAGCCCATGAGGGCTTTTATCTCCCCTGCTACAGTCCTCAGCAGAGGATCTCCTCATTTGCCATGGGTACCACTGGCTGTTCATTGCTTGCTATTTTGTTAGTAAGTTTTAGTGCCAAAGTCTCTTATTTCTGATCTGTGGATCTCAGACTGTAGCATGTTAGACATGACATGCAGTTACTCCATAAAAATTGCTTCCTTTTTTACTTGGAGGAATAGGAGCTTCAACAGTCAGACCAAGAATTTGGCAGCTTTCCAAAGTCTCCTACCAGAAACTTTCTCTTCTCTGGCAAGACAAAGTTCTGCCAGATTGTGTTCTATCAAATGCTATTTTGACATCTCAGACCAAGATGTAAGCTGCTCATCTTGTATAGCAAGCAGGACAGACATCTGTTTCACTTCTGGAGGATACAGCTCTTCAGGAGAGTTCAAACTACTGAAGTCTGGATGACAATATTATTTTTTTGATCGGTGAGTACAGAACTGCAGTCTGTGCCACACCATGAAGTTAGCCAGCAACCTCAATAGACACCTACATTGCACTGCTCCACAAAACTAAGGTGCCTAAAAACAGTGCATCTGCTGTTTTAACCCTAGGAGGGGTGGGGAGGGAAGTGTCTTTTGACTCATCCTATAGAGATCAGTTCTACTGGCATACAAGAAACAGCCTTTTCTTACCACTTTTGCAAGCCAGTGTGGTCTGTGAATGCTTGCTTATGGAAAGGGAGGACACTGGTAATGTCAAATCCTGTGCAGTGAAGCCTGTGCAGAGCCAGTGCAAGTGACTCTAAATGTGTTTCCTGGATGCTTTTTGTATAAAAAGATTGGGTAACGTCATCAACTACACAGGTTTTTTAAATCTGTCCCAAAACCACTCCCAAACCTCTTAGTCCTCCTCTAGTAAATCTGTATGACTGCCGTCTATCACACTGTCATATTAACTGTTATTAAACTGTTATTAAGAAAAAGGTGAAATAATGTATTTTACCATCCTCAAAAGGTCTTCCTCTTATTAGAAGAAGTACTTGCTAACATCTCAATTGACATTAAAATATTATGGTTTGAAAATGCCAATTACACTCTGTTCCAGGCAGAGATTTTTCCCTTGTGTTCAAGAGTCTGAAAGCTTTTCTAGTAGCTGATGTCACAAACATAATGAATCATTCTTTATATTTTATCTTTTAATAACACCAATTTAATGATTAGGCAAGGCATTTGAACCCAAGTATTGCTTCCTACGTCCAGCTCTCAAATACACTCTTATAGTTCTGCAATAAATATAAACTGATGGCTGATACACTGAAATCAGCCCTTTTTCTTTAAATTCAATATATCAATGTATTATCATGTACTTTACTTTTATGGGACAGCAGTACTCACTCTGCAGTTAACTCACTTTTGGCATGTGATAACAAATACAAAAACTAACAGGCTGGGAAATCTCTTGGAATCCTTTGGTCAGTAGCTGACTGAATTCTGATGTCAGTTATGCAAATGTTTTAGTTGCACAAAAATGCAGATCTGTTTCTAATAGAGCTTATATTTTTTAGAACAACTTTAAAATCTTTACTGCTGGTGTCCTCAATGTTATTTAAATTCTGAGTCTCTTTGGAAGGACATACATAATCCGTCATTCTTGATTAATTAGACTTGACTCATCACTACCATCTTTCACATTCAGCTGCTTCCCCTTACAAATTATATGCTGCCCAACACTTGGCAGAAAGATAGGAGAGGGAAAAGATAACCTTATTCGTTGAAGATTTCTGAAAACAAGCCTTCTATTCTGGATTCCAACAATTAGAATATGTTATACTAGTATCATAGGATAAAGGAGGCTGGAAGGAAGGTCAGGAGGTTTCTAGTCTGACAGAAGTCAGTTATGAACACAGACCACACTGCTGAGGGTTTTATGTCAAAAGGTTTGTGTAAAAGTATCCAATGGTGGAGACAACATAGCCTTTCTGCACAGTGTGTTTCACTGCCTGACTGTCTTCCCAGGGAAAGGTTTTTTGATATATCCAGCCTGAATCTCTTTTTTCAACCTATATCCATTGTCTCCTGTCTTTTAATCATGCATGTCTTTGTTGTGTTGAGGGCCTGTGAAGTGGATGCTCTGTCTAGAGTCAAGTCAAACTTATGCTGAGTAAAAGGGCACAATCACTGCCCTCTGTCTTGCTGTGCTTCTGTGAAAACAGCCCAGGGTGCTATCAGCCTCTGCTGCCAGGGCACACAGCCAGCCTATGCTCTCAGCTTGCTCTCTGCCAGCTTTCTGCTGTTGTTGGAGACTCCCTCAGTCTCCACAACCTTTCAATTACAAGAAAGTAACTGTACAAGGACGTTGGCCTGCTCTCTCAGCACCTGTCTGATCCTGTGAGCTCCTATGGGTCAAGTTCTCTGGAGCAGTCCCTGCCTAAAATCATCCACTGCAGGTGATTAGTGCTTGAAACCTGCTTCAAAGCAGAGGCCTGGGAGACCTTGTAGGTAAAAACTGAGAGTACTTCAGCCTCATCTGTGTCTGCAGAGTTACTGGATTGTCTGTGTATATATATTACATAAGGGTGTGTCTATATACATGTATTTAAATATATGTAGTACTACTTACATAACATGTACATAAACATCCACACCAGCTGGTGTTACATCGTCTTAAAATGAATTTTCTTCAATAGAGTCACTCTGATAAGAGGTTGTTTTTCTAATGTAACATGGTTATTTGTATTTCATTGTCATCACCTCACACTCTTTATTCTAGGATCATCAAACTATTTTAAGAGCATGGGCAGTTAAAGACTTTGCTCCAAATTGTCCTTTATACGTCCAAATACTGAAACCTGAGAATAAATTCCACATCAAGTTTGCAGGTAAGTGTAAAATTTCAGCCATTTGAAACATTTGTTAGTATTTGGCAGCTTGTTTCGTAAACATAGAAGCCAAGTGAGATGCCCCAGACATATTTACTGGTTAGAAGCAGATTGAGAGTGCAGTATTGTAAAACAACAGGGGTTGATATCCTATCAATAGTAAATGGCATGTTTTACATTGAAGTCTTATTTATAAGCACTTTTAAGGATTATTACTCTGTTACATAACATGCACAGTAGAATTATTTGATATAAAACACATTGTTACTCCTGAATTATAGATCCAGGTGGTTTTCCATCTTGCTGTATCCATGTCTTTAAATAATTTCTGTCTACTAAAACATCCTGTTATTAAGGGGAATGAATATAAGATGATGTGCTCAGAAAAGGCCAAATTTTATCCAACCAACATCTGAAACAAAAATTTTTCCCATTGGACTGTTTTTTTTCCAATTTGTATGAAAAACATAATTTTAATTACTTTCAGTTTCTTTCTGAAAGAGATATACCATTTAATTCTATATCCAGTAAAATGCATATCTTAGAAACTATGACATAAAATGCAAAACCTATGTTAAGAAATCAAAACAAATCCTCTCTTGTAAGAGATTACCAGCTTCAATTTGACACATTTCTCTGCACTATGTAGGTAGGTCTCACTTTTCTATATAAAAACACATAGGTACGTACATATAGATACATATGCTTATACTCAAAAACTCGCAAAATACTTAACTCTTTTGCCTATCTCTGGAAAAATCATCACACGAAGCAGAAGCAAAGCTCTCCTTTTCAACTGCAATTTTGAAAATTCGATTTTCTTGAAATATATTCTAAGGATGAAAAGATGCCTGATTCATGCAAAATTAAAAAAAAAACAAACTATGGAAAAATATTAGTCTCTTCCATCTTCCCAGGATGTGATGAAAAAGTAAATTTCAGTGCTAAACAGTTCCAGAGCAGCCATTAAAGCTGTAATTTTAAAAGCTACTGAATTTGCCACTAGATTGGAAATAAGGAAAAAAGCATCAGTAGCAGTTCTGAAGTTATAAAAGTGTAATCTCAAGCTATGAGAGAGCACACCAGGGAATAAGGCTCATGCTGTGACACGAATGATGGTGCTTTTTCATCTTCTCCTTAAAACCACACAGCACAAACATAATCTCTTCTCCCTACCCATAGCTACTTTTATTTATCAGTAAGTGTGTTAATTTGTTGTTCCTAATTGTATTTTTAAGAGAGTGTCATTATTCTTAATGGCTTGTCTCTGTAGGAGGTTATATATAACTAGACTTGCAAAACAGAGGTAATATTTCATATCTGTTCTAACTCTCAGAGTGCTAATTCAGACCATATTCTTTTAAAAACCACAAACAACAATAAAAAAATACAAAACAAAAAAACATGTTTTCTTCAACTGAGCTTAACCAATCTGGTATCTTCCTGCCTTCATTTATGCTCTGTATTTAAGAGCTTGAGGAGACTTTATATATTCTGAGCCTCTTTTGCCCCCTCTAATATCAATTATAGTAACACTGTATTTTAAGTCTAAATATTTATGTAGCACCTTACATCGCAAAAGAATTCCACTTGGATCAGAGAAGTCACTGCATCCATCTCCCACACACTCTCTGCACAACAATAAACCTAGAGAATTACAAGGTTTCCTTCAGGATTGATTTAATCTTACTCACAGGAAATTTTTAATGCAGTTTTGAATTCAGCAAGGTTACAAACATGGCATAAACATTTCCTCTCTGTGCTTACCTACTGAAATTGTTAGGCCACTGACAGAGTCATGAGAGCAATATTTGTTTGCAGACATTTTCCTAAGAGGACTCTACAGTGGTTATTAATCTTATCCCACCCTTCTTCATTCTGAAATATGAACCCAGTGGAGGGCTGCGGACTACAGCCCTGTTTAAAGTGCTTACAAAAAAAAATTGTCATAACCATATGGAACATTTCTCTTAAGTGCTTTTCCTATTATGATTCAAGATTGCTTTATTACTGCCTTAATGCAAAAGCTTTTTTACAATTTGATATTCCTTTAAAAAATGGCTCCTTTCTTCTGAAGATTTCCCCAAACAATATTATTCTTTTTTATGAACCTGAAATACTCAGTAACAGGATTTATTTCTGTTTTGTTGGATTTTTTTTGTTTTGTTTTTCTCTACATATAGGTTTAGAAACTATTACTGTCAGAAATAAAGTTTCTGAATTTAGAAAAAATTGCAACCAAAGAGTTCTGGAAAGTCCTAACAGTAACTTTTAACTACATTGAAAAATTCATAAAACAGTAGAAGCTCAGTTTCTCAACTGAGAATTATTTCTTAACCTATTATATTAGGTTGACCTGTCATCCTCGACTTCGTGAGACAGTCCTGAAATGTAAACCCTGACTGCATTTTCCAACAGAACAGCATTCTGGAGATTTTATCTCCTAGGCTTAAGAAACAGTATACAGGACAAGCAATTGTTACAATTTATTACCATCTGGTAGACAAGACACTCCTATTCTTCCTCTCTTTATGGATTCTACTAGAACCTATTCTTGTCATCACAGCAAGAGAATGGAGACACTTTGCACAGGGTAGTATGGCCTGTCAGAAAGGCAGATTTCCTGTCTTTTCATCTGATGCCAGACACCTGCCCTTTGCATCCTGTGATTTCTCTGTCATATTTTACAGTGTAGTTTAACTACTTTGTTTTATACAGTAACTTACACTTGTATTAGCACAGTAGAAATATTTCTCTGTGCTTGAATATGATTCGTCAGCGGAATCTGAAAAGCACAGGGCGCTTGTCCCAGCAAACTCCTTTGCAACTCCAAGGTGTGAACACTTTCTAAATAAACAGTCACTCTAACAGGACAGTTATCAGATGGGCAAAGAGACACTATCACCATTGTTAACAGGCTTACGACTTAAGCTGAAATGCTTTGATTACTCCTTAGTAACTCCCAATATACAAATGCCTTGGCATACCATTTTTTCTTTCAGTAATACTGCATTTTCTTTCACAGGCAGTTACACGTTTTCATAATCTTCCTTCTTTTTCTTCAAATGCACGGGGCTGCAAAAGGCCATGTACCCTTAATGCATCCATCTGGCATGGCATTTCAGCACAAAAATGAAATAAAGTGAAGACTGTCCACAGCAGAGCAATATATGCAATTCAGAGACTTAAGTAAATGGCATATTTTCTGAGTTGGACTTAAAAATTGTATATATTTGCTAGAAAATAAATTATTTGTCTTCACCTTGAATATCCAGAAATTATGTATAATCGTATTTCCAGGAACTGGGGATACATTTTTACATCTATTTATTCAAAATTCAGCAATGAATTAGCAGATTTATGAAGTCTGACATTAAACATTCAGTAGTTTATTTAAGAGGTAGATAGTCTAGATTCACCAAAATGGATACTGAATGCATCTGATTATTACCTACAAATTACAGATAAAAATAGTCTAGAGATAATGGATAAGCATTTTTCTCTAGCTGGTTTGGCAGCGATCATGTTAACCTATCAAATTGACAAAAGCAAGGTTTCTCAGAACAGCTGTGTCAGGTCTAGAACATTCTTACCACATGGCTGATGCTGCAGGTATAAATCAGCACTGTAAATATGTTTTGTTGTCAAGAACATGACAGAAGTCATAATTCACTGCACTACTACATCTATTTGAGACAGACGTAGCAATAAATTTTCTGTCAAAATGTATTTACAACAGAAGCTGTAGATTCTGGAAATTCTAAATGGAATATTTCTTTATATAAATGCAGTCAAAATACTTCTGTTTGGTAAACTGATTTGGCTTATTTAATATTCAGTTCAAGGTAAACTGCAGTTTCCTCTGCTGCTTCAATGCCACAGTGAATGAATAATTTTCTGATTTTGAACTGGACTGATGTCCCAGACCTGAGGAGAGGGAGAGCTGTAACCCAGCCTCCTTCCTACTCACTTTAGAAGAGAAAGCATCAGGTAAAGTTCCATACAACCCTCATCCACAGCTCTACAATAGCAGTCCTGAACATCAATATGAAACATAGTAGCCTTATAGGCAAGTTGTAATTTGTCAAATAGTTGGAGAAATTAGCAAGTTATTTTTTACCTGATCTGTGTCTAATATAAGAACTTAAGTCCAGCAAAGAGGAGAAACCCATAGTACCTCTCTTCATGTTTCAAATGGCTACAGTATTTCTAATCCACAGTAGTTTGATCACTCAAGCGTCTTTCCCCTGGGGTTCTCAAAGTACCTCTGAGAATTCAAAAGCCTCAGAACACCTCTGAAGCAGGTAGGGTATTATTTAAGAAGGCCATAAATAGCTCACACAAGGCCAAAGTCTACAATAGGCTTCTGAGGTAAAAACCTTTACCATCACAATGTGAATCTCATACACATGCGAGATTAAGATGACTCTTGTAGGACAGCAATCTCTGTTTGCTGTGTGCTGTATTCTTTGTTAACATGACATTTTACATAAAATCCACCCATCCAAAAAGTCCACCATATACATTAGAGAGTAGAGAACGTATGGAGGATTTAAGTCCAAGATATCCTTTTCACTTGCATCGTACCATCCGTGTTTTATTAATTTTTATTTATATTTAGGTCAGCATGTACAATTTGGTTCAAGTACAAGATCTGAAATAACAGATGATGAAATAATTTTCCTGTGTATTTTTTCTTGTTCTGATTTTCAAAAGTATTAGCAATAACAACTTTCTAAATAGAATAAGGGGAGGTTATTTGGCAAAATCCTATATACATTGAAAAATATGGAGAATTCTCATTCTTTCAGTATGAGGGAATCAATATGTACTTTCATAAATCAGATATTCCGTCCAAGCAGAAGACTATGCCTTACTCTTTCAAATCTCTAGTTTAAAATTAAAATATATTAATAACGGCACATGATCAACTATAAGAACCCATTTCTGTCTGAAATATTTTCTGCAGGAAATATTTAATTGCTGTAACTGAAATAAATTTAGGGGAGGAAAAGTCTCATTTTGTTCTATATTTGATAGTGTCTTTATATAACTAGATTCATTCCTTCCTTATGGCATTTAAATAAGCCTTCACCTTCAGAAAATGGGAGAATGAATTTCTCCTTTCAGATGGCAATGATTCTGTTACTGAAAAGACTAGAAATTTCACAAAAATGAATAGGAAAGGCATACAAAGTATGTCCTTACTTTTGTTTTCAGTAAGTAGCATGCTTATCACTGTACCATAAATATTATCTAGAAAGCAGGTAAGTTAGAGAGATAAGATGGTTCTGTGGATTTCAATGATTCATTAGTGCAACTAGATGTAGATGGATGTAGGCAGCTCAGATCTAGGTGGGGAGATTGTTTGCTTACATTTACACATCAGTCTTCGTATGCCTTGTGTTTTGATCATCATTGTATTCTTTCTCATCAAAAGCAAATTCTGTTCCCTTTTAAAGTAACATAAACTGAATCAAACAAAATTCAGAAGGAAAAACGTTTACTTAGCATGCAATAATGCCTTCATGACCTTAGAAAACCTCTTGAAGTTTCTACACTTAGAAGAAGTTTAATTAAATTGTAAATTTTGTGCTTATCCCTTAATATATCTATTTTAATACTGTCACAGGTATATGTGAATGACATTAAAGAGTAATTTCTATTTCCTTTTCATGCTGTCACCAGCACTGGAGAGCATTTACCTGTGATCTGAATTTTAAGTACTAGCCATCCAAGTTGAAGAATAATTCATACAATACTAAAAGCATATGTAGAAAATTTGGCAGTTCTAAGTATAAACCAATACAGAGGACTAGATATAATGGCTCTGTCGCTTTCTCTCCTCACTTCCCTTCCCCTAAATTCCGTTAAAAGACAGAGAAATATTGTTCCATCACAGCAAGTACTAATGTGCAGATATAATTTCTTGTAAGGACTCTCAAAAACAATGCACGATTTTGTGATTACAAAAGCCAGATGGAGACAGGGGAAGAATGTGAAGTTGTAAAAACCCAGGAAAGAAACTCCCCCTGTCCTTGCCTAGACTGCAAGGAGGCAGCAGCTGTGAGCAGTTCCTGGGAGAGATATTAGTCAAATCTCTGTCACACACTGAAGCGCAGTTCCAAGTCCCAGAGCCACTGCCAAATAACTGGCCTGCAAAGACAGTGCAGCCTGTCTCATTGCTCAGTGCTCCTGCTCTGCAGTCATATAGACACAGAATTCTCTCTGTACAATACTTCATGCCTCCACACCAGTTAATGCAAAGCTGCAGAAGGTGCTAAAGGTACAAACCAGACTATGTTACATGGCTTACTCCTACAATTCATACAACTGATAGCAGCAAGATAGTGAAAGTGGAACTCACAGAGCCATTGCATCTTCTCCATGTGTAGCTGCAGGACTGAAATTATGAACTGGATGAAAAATTAACTCTACTCATGCAGTTTGAGAGGCAGCATAAATGAGGCAAATCATACACAGCTGCTTTCTGGTACAAGTGGAGGATGAAGATCTGGAGGCAAATTTTTATTGTCCCTATCTTCACTGTTTTCCTAGACAAGGAAAGGAAGGGATAATTTTGTTCATTGGAAAGTGTTTTTGTGAAATAAAATGCTCTCTTTTTTTTTTTCCCCCCCTGCAGATCATGTTGTGTGTGAAGAGGAATTCAAGTATGCTATGCTAGCTCTAAACTGTATATGCCCAGCTACCTCTACATTAATCACACTGCTGGTTCATACATCTAGGGGACAGTAAGTATATACTAACATTTTAAAAAAACAACCTTGTAAAAGTTACAAGTTTTTTTTTGCAAGTAGCTTAATCTGAACTTCCAGACAACTACAGTTTTTAAAAAACAAAGTGGAACTTTCTGCACAATAAAAGCATCAAGATTTTTTTACTTGAAATTTACAATTCAGTAGACTGAACTGTGGATGTTTTGCTTAAGAACACCAACAAGACACAATAATACCTATTTTAATATGCTAATTTTAAGGTGTATTTTTGTACACATATAAAGATTCCTAGTCATTCAGGTAAAAACATCTTTTGCAGAAAGTATAAAATACTCTTTCCTACTCAGTGCCTGTACATTAAGAAGCAAGCAAACATACATGTGAAGGGAGGTTTTTTAACAAAACTAACCGCACTGACAAAAGGGGTACAGAATTACAGTGTCTTCACAAACTGCACAGTCATGGTAGAGCCTCTTTGTATTTATCAAAATAATTTTACCACATCTAGTATATCTCTGCTATCCTACATGCTTGAAATAAAAGGTATTTTTATTAAAATATTGTGGGCAGAGGGAGGCATTAAAAAGTAAATCTCCAAATAAATAAGGGGAATACTTGCATATAGATTGCACAAGAGTACATCTGAGAGTCTAGAAAAAATGCATACTTTTTTTTTTTCAAGTAACTGTGGACCCAGTAACAGCTTGATATTTACATGCAGAGTTATTTAACCATCTACATGACATTTATAGTATTCCTCTGTGCTCAGGATGGGGAAAACTAAAATTATTGCTGGAAATTTCACTACCAAGAACAATAAATGTCAAGATTTTAATGGCACTGTCTGTACTAGAAATTGTTAATATGAAGACAACAAAATACTGTTTCTGTGTCTCCTCAGAGTCACAGTGAAACACATCCATCTGCCTAGCTTTCATTATCTGACATGCACAGAATATAGAGCCTTTTTAGTTATTTCATGTTATATTTACGTGAAGTAAGAATGGTATTTTAACATCACTTAATTTTTAACACAGGCATATTGATCATTTATACACATTCCAAGCTATGATATAAAGTAACTGCAGTAGGATGCAAAAGTACTTATTATTTCCTTTGCAATCCAAATTCATTTATGTAATGAGGGTTGTTAAAGTAACTGATTTCTAGTCTGATCATTGTATAATGGAAGCAAAAAAAAATTTTTTTGCACAAATAGTTGTCGACATTACTTGGAATCCTTTCAGAAAGATACAAGCTTGCTGTATAAATACAGACAGAAAAGGTGTAGTCATTCTTCTACTTTAGTTAGCACTCATCAGAGCATTTAATCTCAGATAAGCTCCAAAATGCTGAAAAATGGCAAACTTTGAACAACTTAGAGCATGTGTTACTGTGGGACTAATTGGCTGAACAGATGTGACTGTTCTTTTAAACCACATTATATCTGTGAAAGTTTAAAACAGACACCTTATAAGGAAAAAGCTTCTAAAATATTTCAAATTTGAATAGCCTTGACTTCAAAGTGCTAAAAAAACCCCAACCTCAGTCCAGTATTTCTCAAGAGTCACTTTCTAAGCTTTCATATTTGATATTTCTGCTAATTCACTTAATTTCATATTTGCTAAAATTTCACATAATTCCCAGACATAAAGTACGTAATCCCCAGACTAGTGAGGTTTTTCTTCCCCTTTTATTCCTTAGAAGTATTTAAAACAAGGACAAAGCTGTCTTTTTACTAGACTTTTCTCAGCCTACTAAAAACCCCTACTGCACCTTTGAAAAGATGAAATAATGATGTACTTGAACTAACTTTTTGCTTATAACTGTTGTGTAGGGTATGTTTAATTGCAAGTTCTGATTATATTGGGTAATCTTTTAAAGTCTATTCAAAGTCATTGGGAGGATTTTCTTAATACTTAGTTCAGGTTTCTATTCACAGAAGCCACATACCTGTGGCCGCACAAGTTTAGTAACTTCAATATAGTGACTGGGAATGTTGAAGTTACTAAAGATAACCAAGTTTAAATGACTACCTGTGCCTTTTCATCAATTGCTCTTTTTACATTATACTTTAGCTGCATATAACCAGAGGACATAATCAAAGAAATGACCAGAACATTTTTTTTTTGTCATTCATTAGTGAAAAGTCATTCACTAAGGAAAACATGACCACTTTTAAATTCTCATTCTTAGTGTTTGTTAATAGAATGAAGTTATGATCTTAATCTAAGTGATTTACATTTTAATAGAAATAAACAGTTCACTGACAGCTTAGAGTTAAAACATTGTCCCAGCTGTTGTACTCTTACAAATGAAATGCTACCTATTCCACAGGGAATCTATCCCCTATATTGAATAAGAAATAATGTGACACTGTTAACTTACTGGAAGTTGGAGGCAATACATAGCCACAGAGTACAGGAAAAATTGTTATTCTTTGTTATCCCAATTAGATTGATAATACAATAAACAGCAAACAAAAAGAAACATATGTACATTAAATAAAACCACCTTATATTCTGGTATTAATATGTGAGGAGATTGGGCAAAACATTCATTTTCTAAGAAAATTTGGCCACATCAACTTACTATTAAAATTAAGGGGAAGTTCACTGCTGTTTATGTGAACTGGCTTTGCTCTTTAATGATTCTTTTGAGATTAAACAAACTAGGTGTAAATAATTGCATTGTCTTCTCAGCTGTTTATGGAATTCAAAACATCAATCTGTAAGATACCAAAATTACACCTTGAAATCTTATTTGTAGTATTATTTTTATTGTAATGATTAATCTTAATATTTATCTTTAAATGTTATCTAATTATGTAATCTAGTAATATGCATTTTGATTAAAAAATGGGAATAGCCTTTCTGACCTGGACTTAATGTGATCTTTGCAGAACAGCTCCATGGGAAGCTTTTAGACAACTAACTGGAACCAAGCAGACTTTAAACAGGTAAGTATTTTATTTTAGGGGAAAAATGAAATATGGAAACATTTTCTTCTGTAATTACCTTTCTAGTTATGCTATTCTACACCCAATACTTTGTTTGTAAATACTGTTGCAGTAAAATTATTTGTTTATTTCTATCTTGAAACAAAATGTTTCTATGCAGAGGGTGAAGAAGAATGGTAAATTGAAGAAAACGAGAAATTGTGTTAAGATGTTGGAAATGTATAAATGAGCACTGAGAAGCATATCCCAGTATCTTGGCATCTTAGCTACAAGTGGCAAAACACGGAGGACGTTTGTCAGTTTTATGTGCTGCCTGCATATGTGGATATATATGTCTGAATCTGTTATTATCCATATTACCCCATGCAGACATGTTTCCACATGAAAGTTAATAAAGAAGCACACAGATGCCTAAAGTCTGCAAGTTTTCGTGTTAGCTGAAGTTTGGAACTTTTCCACTAACAATCCTTCTGGATAAAGAGTGATAACTGCATATAGTAAAGGATGATATGCTTAATACAGTTAAAGAAATCATTTATTTTCTTGCACTAGAGAAAAGAAGGTATATACTTGTCATAATATAGAAGGCACAGTAAGTAAGAATATCTATAGGCTAAAGGCTGAAGATAACTGATAAGTAATTGCAGAGAAAAAAATATCTTAAAGTGACTAAGCCAAATGGGTCTTCCCTGCAGAAGTGACTTTAAATGATTCTTCACCTACTTCAAACAGGAACCAGACAATCTGCCATGGAGCTTCTGAAGAGCCTATCTTTATGAATAAAATGAGCGTGCTCTTGGTTTCACCTATCATCTTTAAATTGCAATGAATCTACTTATTATGGTGTGAATTTAAAGTAACTCAGCCATATCTCCTGATACTAAAATACATAATCTTATATGACTGTTACTTAGCACAAAATGCTCTTTAATTCATTAAAATAATGTCTTTAAGTATTATCAAGCTTTGATCTCAAATATTTCTGTCAGATTAGGCTATAGGACCTTTTAAATAGACATTTATAGTTTCTATTGCCATAAAATACTGTTCTGATTAATAAGAATTTTACATTACGTTTTAAATTACTCTCTTTATCTGTACTTGTTTCAGGGAGAGTCAGCAATCACCAGAACAATGGCAGAAAATGTATGGCAGATGTTCTGGTAATGAAGTGTATCATATTAACCTGGAAGAAAGTACTTTTTTTGCTGAGTATGAGGGGAAAAGCTTCACATACGCTTCTTTCCATGCACATAAAAAGTATGTTAACTTTCCTATCAACAGTTAAACATTCAAACAAACAATTATTTCTTCTGCCTGCAATGTAGCTCTGCATTCACAGGTGCAATACTACACATTACTCTGTTTCTGGGTTTAAATATTGGGCCATTAACATATGTTCAACGTTCAATTTAGAAGTGGTACATGCTACATTCTGGTGATTGTTCAAAGTAAAACCATATGTTCTGTGTTAGATGCTAACATACTGTCTTTAGGTTCCAGGTCATGCATCGCTTATTCAGTGCTGATCTGTAAGCTAAACTTAGAAACTGAACACGAATCATGTCTATTTCTATATATTTAACAAAATTAACATATATCAAACCCTGATCAATTTGTTTATTCTCATACTTGAAAAGTGAAAGTTCTTTTTTTTGCTTTAATTCCTTATTTTCTATCACTAATAAAATAAATTTCTGGGAGTGAACTGCAAAAATGAATTCTGAAAATTGTTTCCATTGCATATGAATAATGGAGCAATTTAAGATAATGAATACTTTTTCATACTATATATCCATTCTTCCACTAATATTTCCCAGAAGACCCTATTCATCTGATAGCAAAAAATCAACTGGAACAGCATTAGAAGAAAATTATGGGGATTTTTAGGAAAAAGACTGGATTCAAAAGCCTAGGGATTCATGAGCTCATAAAAACTACTTGATCAGAAGTGGCCTGTTTAGGAGATAACATTTTTCAAATATATTTGTCATCCAACAATCTGCAAATGTTTATAATCTGCAAAATATAAAAATACAATGAAGGTTCATTTTTGGAAGTGGAAATTCTAGTATACATGGGACTATGCAAAGTGAACCATGCCTTTCCTTTTCTAATTAAGGTTTGGAGTCTGTCTGATTGGTGTTAGAAAGGAAGATAACAAAAACATTTTGCTGAATCCAGGTCCTCGATATATCATGAGTTCTACAGATATATGTTTTTATATAAATATCACCAAAGAAGAGAATTCTGCTTTCAAGAAGCAAGAAAAGCATAGAAAAAAACATGAATCAAAATTATCTTATCATGGAGCTTCTAGGTTACCTGTACACAGTATAATAGCCAGCATGGGTAAGTAAAGAAAAGAAAAAGCCTCACAACATATTCAATGAATAGTGCATTTTAAAGCTTTTAACAGTGTATTCCTGAAATATTAAGAAATTAAAATAGTATACAGAAAGAAAAACATTAAACACTTGACCTTATATTTTCAAACATACAAACAAAATGGAATTTGGTTATATTTTTCTTTTACTTGACAATATGGAATTAAACTGCTTAGGAGTGTTATATACAAAAAGTAATAATAAAATGTATACAAAGCGAAACAACTGGGAAAATCCTATGGGTAATTTCTTTGCCATTCATAACTAGTAATTTGTAATAAACTTTCTTAAGCTTCTTTAAATACAAAAAATGCTCTTTCTTAACAAAAACCTGCAGGTTGTTGATGCATATAAATTTGGATTAATTATATAAGGTATGATTTTAAAAAGTTAATTAACAAGAAAATATGTATTACTGATCAGAAGAAATGCTACTTTGCAGGAAAATACTTCCTTGGGTATAGTTTAAATATTTATTACATTTAAATGTAATAAACACAGTCAGTTTATTATTCCTTTCAGTGTTTTGCTGTGTAGTCAGGTAATCCCCACTAAGTATGAGAATCTCAGTCAGATGTTTTGACAACCATACTGATAAAATGCTTTCACTACCTTTTCAGGGACAGTGGCTATCGATCTGCAAGACACAGGATGCTGCCCACCCAGCGCGCCCACGCTGGCTCTTCCCTCCGAGGGAGGCAAAGAGGGCAGGCGGCCCAGCATAGCACCTGTTTTGGAGGTTGCAGACTCGTCCTCACTTCAGACCTGTGACCTGCTAAGTGACCAGTCTGAAGATGAAACCATCCTATCAGATGATGAAGTCTCTGCAGGCTTAGAGTATGTTTATTCAATATAAGATAACATCATTTGAAAAGTTGATATTATGTAAATAATATCTAAATAGTATTTTTATCACCATTTTTCTAATACTCCATAGTTGTAAAGACAGGACTCTATTTGTAAGCAGGTAAGTACTTCTGTCCTAAGAACACAGGGGTTATGAGACCATTCAAACAGGCTTGCTCAACACTGGGGCTAGATGTCTGACTTCAAAATGTAGGGGTGACAAAAAAAGCAGTACGAGACACATTTAATACATCTAATTTAAAATATTTGTTAGCATGTTACTGAAAGTAATGATACATTACTCAGATAAAACCAGAAGATTCAATCCTGTAACTGCCATGCAGATAAGCAATTACATTTATTTGAATTACTGACTGGGATGTTAAAACTGAAAGATGCAATTAAGCCAGTGGCTCACCTAGCACAGTTTCCTATCTCCAGCAGTGGCAAGCACAAGAAGTCCCGGGGAAGATCACAAAGCTCCAATGAAAAAAAAATTGCAGTCATCATCTTACATCTCCAGACTGAAGTATATGGATTTATAAAGCCTCTTATTAGATACTAAGGCTACTTAGAAATTATATCTCATTAGCAAGCAGATTTCCTATTTAAAAATATTCTAACCATGTTGAAAGATTGTTTAAAAAGCAAGGAGGTAATGACCTCACTCGTTCTCAGTAAGTGTTTGAAAGAAAAATAGAGAAGGAAGAGCAAAAGTACCGCGATCATTTCTATTTTCTTTACTTCCTTTTTTTCTTTCCCTTCCTTAAAAGTTTCCAGCACATGCATTCAGAACACTGGGATGGCACACTATGATACATCAGCCCATTTCCAAATACTCCTATACAAAAAAAACCCCCAAGCACAATTGCTTTAGTCCACATAAGCAGAATAGCTTTCAGTAAATTCTGTTAACTATGTTTCAGTAATTTGCTACACTGAAAAATGTTTCTTCTATTCTTCTAGGTATGCGAAAGGCTATCCTCCTTACTCTCCATATATCGGAAGCTCTCCCACATTTTGTCATCTTCTGCATGAAAAAGTACCCTTCTGTTGTCTAAGACTAGATAAGGTAAATAGAGTTTGTGTTAGTGGACAAAACTGAAGTCTTAACTGGTCTCTTGCATTTGAACAGAGCACAGTTCTGGTTTCTACTTAGAGATCACTTTTTGTTCAGCACTTACTATAAGCTATAATATTTTCTCATCCTTATAAATCACCAAGTGTTTCTTGATGACTACTCGGGTCTGTATCAGGACATCTGATACAATTTTCTGTTTCTAATAGTAAAACCCTTTAACATCACAGCTATATCTGTTTATTCATATCCACCAAACTTGTTTTTTATTTTGGTTTTAGGGATGCCAACATAACTACTACGAGGATGCCAAAGCCTATGGATTTAAAAATAAATTGATTATAGTTGCAGCGGAAACTGCTGGAAACGGTTTATATAACTTTATTGTTCCACTCAGAGCTTATTACCGACCAAAGAAAGAACTAAACCCCATTGTATTACTCCTGGATAACCCGTAAGTAGATTGTTAGGTTTTATTGTGATACATTTGAAACTCACTTTACCGTTACATCCATAGATGATCACTCTTCGCGTTGCCAACTTAGCGTCAAAAACATTATGGCACATTTATCTTTGAGAAAAGTTAATGACTAAAAGAATACGTTCATTGTCATATAAAATTGACATTTTACTGACTGTAAGTAGCCATAGTGAATTTAAGTGTCCTTATTCTTCATGGCCAATGTTTCAGTTAAGTATTTCTTAAAAATACCAAAAATCATGTTAATATTACTGCTAAAATTAATAACTTCATAAACATAATAAAAAGCAAACTGTGTAACAGTTTCACAGCTACATGACAGTACTTTGAACAACACTAACCTGACTTAATACAAAGCCCTTAGTGGCCTGGACCACCAGCTAGGTATATTTTTAATAATTTCAGACTGTAAGTTAAATAGCTCCGTAAGCTGGTAGGACACATGTACTTTGTCTATGATTATGTAAATCATGCAAGAAAATTAAAACCTGCAATATTGTTACAACCATATCTGTCTGGAGATCACTGGAATTCTGAGCCTTTCTTGCATTAGCTGTTTAAAATTTCAGACTACTTCTTCTCTGGTAAGACTGATTCATTTTTTTTTTTTTTTTTGCAAGACTGATATTGCTCAAGTACTTAAAATCACAATTTAGAAGACACAAAAATGGAAGTTAGGAGAATTAGATCAAGGTATGACTCAAAAGTAATGACAGTAGAAGAAATGTCTTACAGGTTCTGACTTCCGGCTGACACTTCTTCCCCTTGCACATTTATATTCTTGTTTAAAAGATTTATTATACAAAGGCCTGCTGTGAAGTGTCCCACTTCTGCCTTAGACAGCTCTTTAGTGGAACTGTATACACCTGTGTTTGCAAAACAGAAGCTTTTTTTTTATATACATATTATGGCATAAAGTGAATTACACAAATTGTTAAAAGCTTTAGGTAGGCTAAAGGGCTTCTGATTTGTGACTTAAGATTAAAGATGTGAGCATACAGTGCCCTCTAGTGCTTGTTCTCTTTTCCAGCATAATGCCTAAGTTCACATAAAAGCTGTTGTGCTGTCTTACACCTAAACCCACTTTTTATTAGCATGAAATAAAAGATGTGGTTGCTACTTAAACTAATATTCTTAGTGTTGTATCCCTCTGGACAGCATTTGAAGTGACTCCCTGAAAGGCCAGCATTCATGGGACTGCAGAAGCTCACTGAAAAGCCAGCATGCTTTTCATACATGAATGAGGAGGAATTCAGGCTGCCATTCAAGTCAATTGGAATTTTGTAATTTACTTCATTGGACTTAGGAATTCAGCCACCTTTGATTCTCTGCCTTACTATATTCCTATTTTCTCTATTTAACAAGGCAAATTACTACACTACGCTTATTCTGATATCTACACATCACGTGTTTTAAGATTTCTGATGTTTCTTGGTATGAAAGAAGAGATGGTAAAATTTATTATTAAAGAAACAATGAAAAAAATACAGCATCTTAGTTTTCATATTCCCTTTTAAAAATAAGGTTTCATCTCAGATGGTCATATTGACTTGAATCAAGCTGTTGGCACAAAAACCAGATAATGATTTGGTTTCCACTTCACACTTTAATTAAAAATCCTCACTGCTTATTTCAGGTACCCCTACGTCATGCATGGGAGTGTAACCTGGTGGTGTGTTTTTTTAAATCAGTCATTCATTCTTATATTTGAAATTGTACTGTGCCATAAAATTGCTGATTCAATAAGTGCATTTGTTAGAATAAGCATGTGAATTCTGATCATTCTTTACGATCACAGCAAACTGTTGATTCACAGCTTTCTGCAAACCTACTTCCTGTTTAAAGTTATATTATATTGCCAAAATTTAAAAAGCTATTGTTTTAAAAAAACAGTTCATTGACATATTTTAGAAGAGATGCTGCTGTTATGATACTGTGTTTCGTTTTGTAATCCCATCTGCTGCTTAGGCCAGATATGCATTTTCTGGATGCAATCTGTTGGTTTCCAATGGTTTACTACATGGTGGGCTCTATCGACAAGTAGGTGAAATAACTGTTAGAAAACTTAACATTGTAGTGCTCAGTGGTTTGTTGTGTGCATCGTCATTGCATGTTTAAGTGTGTTGTATTTGAAGATGATCTTTTTGCATGCATGATTTGTGTTTGTGTGCTATAATTTGGGATAGTTTTACTTACAAGGATATCATTAGTGAACAGTGTGAGATGGGACACAGGTAAATAATTTAAAAAACATAAGATGAACACTTTTTTATATGCATTAATATGTTTCTACCAATTGCCAGATTATATCCCTAATTCTACTGTCACTAGAGAGTTTTAGCATCTGTTTTCATCGATGACAATACTTTAAAAAAATCTGTATTTATACTTATTCCCTGTGTTTTCCTAAATGTGTTTTAAAATCATGTACAATTAACATAAATTGATCACCTTTAGCTAAGAATTCCAATGTAAAATATGCAAAATTTCCTTTCTTATTTCATAAGTGCAGAATACATTCTCAATGTGCCACTTACTACCTTTATGTATATAACATATTTGTCATTTGATCATCTGGTATGAAATGTCATCATCTTAGAAAGTCGCCAAAGGAGTTATATTCTTCCATACCACTCCTTTTTGTTGGAAGAGAATGGCCTGCAGAAAAATAGCTTTACCAAAATTCATAGCTGTGATGAACTTCATCAAAATATGTCATCAAGTAGTAGATACATGTTCTACCGTCTTCAGGTATAAATTATTAGAGATCTATATCTGAAGAGATTTCACAGCTGTATAGACATCTATTCAGTATTAAGGAACCTATAGCAAGAGGTACGTAAAAAAATATAATTATACTACTCCTAAATTAGTATTTTAAAAATTTTCCAAAAATTAGTGGAATCTAACTGCTAAGAATAACTGTTGATCTTGTGAAACACTGAAATGCAGAAAATCTGGACATTTCAGAATATGCTACTTTCAGGGATCAACTGAAAGACAGAAAAAGGCAGAAACACACATTACTCAGAGAAAGCTGGGAGCTCTGCTTGTGCACAAAAGTTTGTAATGCATCATATAAAATGTAGCTTTTATTCTGGTGGTCAACCATTAGTGAAATTGCACAGTGAAAAAATAATTATATAATTGTTTTCGAATATGTATGGGATGTAAAATAAATACCACAAATCTCTAGAGTTTTCCTTACCCAAAATTTCAAAAAGAATTAATAGGTAAAGTTAGGAACATTAGAAGATCATTACTGAAAAGAAAAACTGTGTCAGAGCAATTAAGATATAATAAATATTACAGATTGCTAAATGAGAAGCAATTATAATGACAAAGCAGCTTTTCACCTTGGAAGTAAAGAGAACTATGCGAAACTTCAGTTTTCCAATTTCTCTTGGAATATACCCTTTCTTATTTTCACTTACTTAAAAGTTGCTAGCAGTCCTTATCATTACAGAAAAGTAATTTCTAAACTTTTGAAAAAGTGCTTGGTTTCTCTGGAAATTATTATTGTTAGAACAACTGAAAGATATCCTTCATTTTGGAAACAAAACTGTAAGGCATGATGAGAACTGTAACTCAGTTGCCTGTGTTTTCTGGTCAGGCTTCACAGGAAAGATTGTCCAGCAGTGTACAAAGTTTTACTGATGTACAGCTGCTCCTAACAGCACCGTGAGAACCCTCAACTCCTAGATTAACCTAAAAAAGGAAAGTTTTACATATCCTGGTAGAACACCTACTAGCATTTTGAAGCCAAAAAATAGTGATGGGAAAGAGCAACCCAGAGCATTTATTTGGATCTATTTATTGCCAGACATGACTGCAACGAAACAAGCTTTTGCAGCATGTAAGGACATACTGCCTTCCCAAGTAACTGTTAAAGGCTTATTTTCAAACACTGAAATAAATATATTATTTTAGCAACAGGAAAGGGACTATAACAACTCACTGAAGTGCAGTCTGTATGCCTTCAAGGAAGATAATTTTTCATTTTCTATTCTGTCAACCGAGATTATATACTTGATATAGATTATATTGGAAGTTGTGATATGTACATGGAGATGAAGGGAACTCAGCCTGTGATCTGCAAATTCCAGCCATCCCTAATCTTCTAAGTCTTCCATATTTAAGTTGCTTGTTTATTTCTCCCTCTTTCTCTTCACAAAAGCCTAGATGACTTATTAAGATGTGGGGTCACCTTTGCAGCTAATATGGTGGTGGTGGACAAAGAAAGTACAATGAGTGCTGAGGAAGACTACATGGCAGATGCTAAGACTATTGTAAATGTTCAGACACTCTTTAGGTAAGGCACTTTTGCAATCTATCTTATACATCATCGTTAATTGTGAAATACTTAATGCCTTTTTTCCTCAGGTAATTTTTTAAATTGCTTTATTCTATTTAAAGTTTTCCCATATGTGTCTTACATGGACAAACTTTTTCCCACCCTGCTTAGCAATACACTCAGAATCCTGCGGTATTCTCCTGATATCTCAGATGAAATTCTGTGCATCCCAAAACTGGATGATCATTTTAGAAGTTAGCTGTCAGGTTTGCAAGAAGGAAAACTGCTCCTGACTTAGGGCCAAAGATAGGTGAAAAAATAAATTTTTCCTCAGTCTTTTACAGTAATGCTAAAGCCAGTATTTAAAGCAGATCCTTTTGATGCTAAAAGGTAAACAGTGCATCACTATGAAGTTAGTAGAAAGTGTTCTCAGTTTTAATATTTAGTGTTGGAAAAACAAATAGGTTTTGGGCACACATATGTGACATTACATATGACAACACCACACTAAACACCATGAAAGTGTACCTGAATAGAGAGTGAAAAATGATCAGCCACGTAAAGAAAGAGGCTGGGAAGGCTGTGCTGTCAAGAAGAGCTAAAGACACAGATTTCCTGTTCATTTGAGAACCTCTCCTGATTAAAGCTTCACTTCATGTTGAATATCTTGATTCAACAAGTACCGAAAGATACATGTCCCTTTAAACTGTTAAATAAAAACTTCTTATTCACTTAAAAAAAAACCCAAAATGTAAAACAAGCCAACCCACACAAAATAAAATGTATTACATGAGGCTTAATTCTAGCACCCTGTTGTTCCTTCTAAAAAATTAAGACCTTCACTAGAAGATTCAGTTTCATTCAATATTGCTGCCCTTCTCTGTGTCAAGCCTTCCACGTAAGACTGGAGAGAGTTGCACAGTGTAAGTCTTTTGAATCTCTCCATGTTTTAGAAAACTGTGCTCATTAAAACAGAAGTATTTCCATGGAGAATCATAAAGGTTGGAAGGGACCTTAAAGATCATCAAGTTCCCACCCCACTGCCATGAGCAAGGTGTTTAAATGCAACTCTGTGTGAGTATGCATTTAAATGCTGTTAGCATTGCTGCTTGTGCTTAAAGGAAGCAAAATCTAGGTTGCATGAGAAACTTTAGTTCTGTCTTATTCTAACTTTGAGGTTTTGATTTTGTGCCCAGTTCTAGCGCAGGTGTGTTTCATAATCACACCTAAATTTAAGTTCCATTATAGTTTCTAAATTAATTTGTTCATCATTCAAGTCTACTCTTAACCATATTGTGCTAGGGCATCTCACTGAAGTGTTGACATATATCACTTAAATTTTTCAGAAATACATTTTACCCTCAAATGTAAAACAGAAAAAGTAGTTGAATATAAAAACCCTTAGAGTACCAGTTGATTTTTTTTCCATAGTTGTGTTCTTTTTTGTAAAACATTTTAAAAAAAGTAAAATCCTAGTAGTACAGTATGTACCATAGGTATCCAAGTAAAACTTATTATATAATAATTCAATTGACTTGCACAATAGTTACAACTAGATGGCAGCTTTAACTCATGTATAAGCTATATATCTGGCTCAGTATAATATTAAGACTGCATAGCATTTTTTACGAATATCAAAATAAATCAGAATATCTGTTTTTAAGACTTAACAACACTTCTTCAGAAAACTTTGTAAACTTTCAGAAGTAGTGTACTGTACATTTTTTTCTATTTTTTCCCTAGAACACATACAGTATTTTCACTGTTTGCTTGCAGTATGTGAAAGCTGTACAAATAAGTAAGCTTTAGGAAGAGGCATAAGGTGTTGACAGTTACCTGTTTTACAGAATAAACTACATTCATTGCAGCAAGATAGTTTTGTAAATGAACTTTGAAAATATGTTTAAAGGTTTTTTTGTTACTTAATGATAGCTAATAATGTCAGAAGTTAATGAAGAGGCTGGACATGGTGAAGAACAACAGCACTTAACACAAAATGTAGTGTTAAAGAAGGAATTTAAACCACTGCAGCTTTGCTAATGTATGCTGTTCTCAAACACGCCATTTCAATGAATAAGATTCCACTTAAGCCTTACCAAGTGAAATAATTCAGAAGATAGAGGCTAATCTAAACCTCACTGATTTGATTGAGTCAGATCAGCTGACCTCATTATGGGCTGTGGACAGGCCTGAAAAGGAGATGCAAAGTGCTACAGTACTGTTTGGCCTAGTTGCAAGTTCTCATATGCCTGTTCTGACATTGTTCCCTAACTTACATAAATTAAGTGTCTTGCTTTGCCAGAAGAGGGAGTGTCCCCCTGCCCTCCCTTAAAGGACAGATGCACTGTATGTAACAGGGTAATTAGCACCATTAAGGCTAGAAATTGTTCCATACCAATTAAAACTGTCACACAACCCTAGCTTATCTGACTTAGTTATAGTTAAAAGGAGTAAAGAAGCGTAACTCAAATGCTGTCCCACAGTCCCACTGGCTAAGAGAGGAAATCTTTAATCCTTTGGATAGGGAAGAAAAAGTTAGCGTAGTTCAAAAGTATCAGGAGAAATTGCTAGCCTTGGACTGTGTCTTAGACGTGCTTTTCACTTTTTAATACAAAATACAAAGCCAACCAGTGAGTCCCTATAGACAGTTATGAGGCCACCTCAGAAAAACAGTGGTTTTCCTGAGGAAATAGGTCTGTACTGGAAGGTGTGTTTCTATTTATTCCTGCTTTCTATTAATTAATTAATAAATTAATTATTAATTAATTCATGGTTTTACATGTTGGTGTTTAAGAGGCCCTGTTTTTAACTTTTTAGTAGCTAACTTCCTGAAGGCAGTTTAAATACTCCAAGAAGCCTATTGGCAGCATATAGATGATATGTCTAATGTTTGGCTGTCATCTAGCCGCTGGCACCAATTTATAGGTAAACAAAATGAGGTGTTAAAATGGCATTACATTACTGTTTTGGGTTATCTTTTCAGTTTATGAAAAAAATCTCGTTTGTCTGATTCCCAAATACCAGATCAACAGCAACCCATGTCTTCCATCAAGCTGAACAGGGCTTTCTCCCCCATGTCTAGTCCTTTATTTTATTTTTTTTTTACATTTTTTTTTACCAGAATGGGATAAAAAAGTAGAATCTTTGCACAGAAGTAGCCTACTCTGTTGCTGAAAGCTTGCAGTCAATATGCCTTACACCCAGGGCAAGAGGCCAGTCTGGCCCTGACTACTGGGAAAGTAATTCCCCCTAATTCTGGTAAAAGGCCCTCTACAGTAAAATATGAATTCTATCAACACCAGGTTTGAAACAGATTTCCTAATGTCAGTTTTTGGATCTTGGTGATAAATTAAACCCATCTAACAGAAACCTAGTAACTTACTTTTTTTTTCCATTAAGTTTTGAATATTTTTTCATTAGATCAGCTTTTAGTGTCCTGTTATTCGTAGCTCAGAATGCTGTATTGTTTCCAAATATGAATGCCTGTCCTTTAACAGAACGACATAACAAAATTTCCAGTCAGCAGAAGCTTAAGTAATTCCATACTACATGATACAGAATTAATGCAGAGAAAATTTATTCTCCTTCCTCAGAACTTCAATACATTTGTTAAGCTATTGAGTTAGTACAAGTTCATACCCACAAGTGTGATATTACCAGGATTTTTTTCAATTTGCACGAGCACTTCACAGGATTTTATAACACAGCATACAAGTGTACTGCCGTTGATCTTAAGGACGTGTTTAGCATGTATTTATGTATGTAGACTCATATCCCAAGTGCTTAATCTTTGACAGGACGTAAGTAGACTTTGTATCTTACGTATTTGTATACAAGTCTGACTGTAAGAGCTAAAAAGGTACCAAAATTTCTGAGCATGCAGCGCACAAATGGTCATCGTTACGAGATTCACACTCACCTAGGTTCCTAAGTCCATTTTTCCTTCTATGATCACATTAAATATTTGGTTTTTCTCCGGGCCATAACTGCTAACAGAACAGCTGGCATTCCATCATCGTAGGTTCAGAACGTTTGGGATCATGGGATTATTACCAGTCTATGTTTTGGCATCAGCAGACTTAAGAAAATGTATTGCAATAGTATGGCATTGACATGTACTGGCAGATAGCTTTGAATTACGTTTCCCCACCATTTAGGCTCTGCTTGAATTGCCATTTCAGGGAAGTTCCTCCCTACAAAAATGAGGGGAAAAAAACTAAAGAGTTACATTGGATTCCATCTGACATGAACTTCATAAAATCAGTTTTCAAGAAAACCACTTCAATTTTTATCTAAGTGAAACAGAAGGCACTTTAATGGCACCATTAGTAGTCCAGCTATCTATTGTCACATATAGATAAGTAATTTCAGGATCAGCAGAACATATTATAACTGCACATCTCATTTTCTGACACTGATCTGCAGAGGAAACACTCAAATAATAATCCAGGTTATCTTCTAAATTGTTTAGTATTTACACAGAATAAACGACAAATTTCTTTCTCATTCTTAGAGCCCTGAAGTCTGGGAGGGGCTCTTCAGTCTGCTTCATGAAAATCTGTGTAATTCAGGCAGATCAGTGTTACCTTTCTTCACTGTTTTTGATATTGGAAGCCTGAATGATTGTTAACTTATAAATATTTTATATATGTAAATATTTCAAAGTGAGAAGATAAGTATATATAAGCATACATTTCCTCAGCAGCTCCCAAGAAGTGTCAGTTTTCATCTGTGTTGCTCAGTCTGTGGACACAGATCATATAAACAGAATTCAAAAAAAAAAAAAAAGAAAGAAAAAGATCAAATGGAAAGAGTACATAAGCCAGTTCTAATAAACTGGCAGTTTACGTGCAAGCAGATACTAGGTGCACACTATAGTTTTCATTTTTTGTTTGCTATGGATTTGTGTAATTTTAGAAATTATTAAATAAAATCTCTGGTAATGAAATTGAATTATTCCTTTCTATCATTAAAATACTTTATAAGCTCAGCCTGAATGTATGTTTGCTGCTTTATGAATTCTACAGACAAGATTTTGTAGTTTCCTCTGCTATTGTACCAGCATTTCATGGTGCCAAAAGCCACCACAGGTTTCAGGCACTTCATTGAAAACATGGATATGAGCACAAGCGGCAGTGTTATGTAGAGCTTTACATTTATGAATTGTTACGATTAGAGGTATAACTGTTACATTCTTTTAAAATACAGGTTGTTCTCAAGCCTAAGCATTATCACAGAACTAACTCACCCAGCCAATATGAGATTCATGCAGTTCAGAGCCAAAGACTGCTATTCTCTTGCTCTATCCAAATTAGAAAAGGTAAGATTTACGTTACCCCACCACCAATTTAAATGTTGTGATCTTAACACTTTTATAACACTTTTTTATTTTGTAACAATGCTTTTAAAGCAAGTGGAAACAGCAAAATGATTTTGTAGTTGCAGAGCTAACGGAAAAAATTATTTATTCCAATTCATTTAAGAATGAAGTTTGATTTGAGTTCCATCACTTTACAATATAATGTTAGTCCACCAGCCCTCTGGACAAAGAGGGACCCACAATTTGCTCCAGGGCAATTGAATATTTTTGGATAACTGAATATTTAGCACTAATACGGTTTTTCCAGATGCTGCCACATGCAATTAATGTGGAAAATATTTTAACTGACTAAACGCTTAAAACATAAACAGCTTTTGTTATTATGAATTTTTATTCCAATTCACTTTAAAGGCCCTATAACTAGGTATTCCATATATATTTCCATGTATCTGTATGGGGTATTTGGTTACTGTGACGGTTTAAGAACAGCAACTGTTCTCTGTCAAAGGAAGTCCTAGTGAATATATGGATTGTAAGACTACTTAAAAGCTAAATAAGACCTTCGTATTCTATATATTCTAGTGCATGTGTTGGCATTTTGAAGTTGTGGAACAGGGAAGCTATACAGACCTAAGTTTTACTTAATTTGCGTGTCCAAAATAACATTGCTAAAACATTAGATGCAAGATATGAAGTAAAATTATGCATCTGTTTAACTTGGTAAATTCAAGGACAATCCTGTTTTTCGTAGATCTTCATTGGTGCTCTGACCGGCCTACCTCTGCGGTCCACAAAACTTACAGTATCACCTTCATGATCTTTCAGATATTTCACCGAGTTCAGATAATTCACTATTTACTGAATAATGTTCACTTAGTTAATTTATAATATGTGTAATGGAAAACAGTCTCTCCATACCAACTTATCTTCACTGGCCAGCTCCCAGTATCTTACATAAGAATCAAATTCTGCAAAAACTCAGCCTGTCTAGATGAGATAGCATAAGTACTAGAAATCAATCTTTTACTCAGTTGACTATCATACTTACATTTCAACCACAAGATGTAAATATGTGGGTGATATTTTGTGATCTGTTGACCTGTGCCTGAAATAGAACAAAATAAGCATATAAAATGGAAAACTGTGAGGAAGCTAGAGAAAAGTTGCTACACAGAGGAACAGTTTGCAGTGCGGGGCAAATCTTCATTTGGATTATGCCATTCCCAGTATGCATTAAGGTTGTAACTGTGGTTCCTCCATTTTAGCACTCCCTCCCTCAATGGTAACTTTAGGAAGAAAAACCTGGAACTGGCTGGAATCACACATTGCCAGCTTATTCAGCACAACCAGTGCCAAGAGCTGGATGGTGCCTTCAAATAACAGCTCCTTAGTGGACTGTAGCTGACAGCATTTTTTTTATTTTTAAAAACATATTCCCTTAATCCATACAGCTTAGTGATAAGGCAAGGTAAGAATAGTAACAGGTTTCCCAGTATGTGGTGTCTGCAGTTGCTTCTGGAGTACTCTGGAGTCTGTAACCTCTCTACTTCAGTGCAGTGACACCAGGATCTTTATCTCAGTTCTCTTTCTTGCTTTGTATAGACTCCATTTTTCCGGCAAATGTCCTGGCAATCATTAGAAATACAATGAATTCTTCCCTGTCTTTATTAATTTAATGTGCAAATGTAAAGTTATGAATATAGGTTGGAGGCTGAAGAGGTAATTAACTTCCCATCCAAAGTGTGCTATGCTGAAATAGAGGTAGATGAATTATATTAAAGAAAGTACATTTTCTTCACTGCTGTTGCAGTTGCCTGCTGTTGATATTTCCCACTCATTTCATCTTAATATTTGCAGGCAGCATTTTACAGGTGGTGCTGTAGTTCATTTGATTTTTCAGAACTCCCTCATGCAAAATGAAAGGCAGTTAAAAACTTGAGTGAAAATCATCTAATGCAGTCAAATGTACAATTGATTGTTATTTCTGCATTATGCACCTCATTTTCAGAAAGAATAAAAAAGTCAGGCAAGTTGCCTTCACGTAGCACATATGCAAAATTGACTTCAACATAATGGCTGCAGAAGATGGATACACCAATCAGAAGTCCATCTGCTGTTGCAGTTACAACTTTCCTCATTTTAGAGATAAATTAATTTGAACACCAAACTCAGCACTGACATAGGAAAAAGCAACAGCCTTTATACAGCAAAGTAAAAAACAAAACACACACAGTCTAAACTTAAAAATTATGTTCTCTATTTGTCTTTGATTAAAAAAAAAAAAAAAAAAAAAAAAAGAAAAAGCTAACTACTCCCTCTTTCTTGAAAGAAGGGGTTTAGAATGTCTTGGTTGAAACTAGATGATCTTTAAGGTCACTTCCAGCTCAAACCATTCAATGATTCTTGGATAAGAGTCACACTTTAGTTTTCTATTTTTTTTTTTTATTATTATTTTCCAAGTAATTATTGCATGTCTTAACCAAAGGGTAAAAATTCTAAACCTTTAAGTGGTTATTTTAAAATATGTGTAAACTTCTGTATCTTTTAGTCAAATCAATACTGTTATTTTGTATCATCCATGGGGATAAGTGCATGTTAGGTGATCAGATATCTGCCTGGGATGGCTGAGTATATTTGCAGTGATAATACACCAAGCCAGGCTACTTTTTTTACCTTAAATTAACAACAGGGCATACGGTCTCCATTTGTTTTCAATATTATTCAGGTTTTAAGCAGATCTGAAGTAACATTAAGTAAAAGCAAGCAGTAATGAGATATGCCTCATAAGAGGTAACAATCTCTTTTTTTTAATTGCTGCTGGTGTTATTTTACATGGATCTCAAATGATTTACATCAGCTACAGTTCTAAAACTGCAAAAATAGAATACACATTTGGTTGCTAAACTGAAGCAAGCCTTTAATAAGATATGGAATGAAACAACATAACAAATTTAAAATAAAGAGGGAAAATAAATTTCTAAGCTTCCATTTTAAAAGAAAACAAATAGAAACATCCCTATATATGTCATCAGATCTTTGGATAAGAACAAAATTATTCCCCAGATATTTCTTGCTTTATTCCACCTTTCTTGGCACAAAACCAGAATTTGCTGCAAATTTCTCTAAGCAGATGGAAGAATAAACATCATACTCATAGCCACCTCACAGCTTGTTCTCTATAATATATTGTATGTCTTGGATCTAAAAGGATTTAATGTAATGTGTGTTATTATATGCATGTAGTTTTAATATTGAAGTATTTGCTGTAAAACATCTTACGTTTTTTTTCATAATTCACAAACAATAGCAACTGAAGAAAAAAACCTCCTTTGTCTGCACTAAAAGAAAAGCGCTTGAGTATGAGATCAAATCACAAAGCAAATACATAAGTTCTTGTTTCTGTGGCTTACACCAGTGAGCACTAAGGTACACTTGTCTAGGTAGCAGTGTTCTTAGAACAATCAGACTGCTTTCTTCTTTAACTGTCTGATGCACATAACTTATTAGAAACTGCCTTTTGCTGATCAGCCATCAAAGCACTTGTGTATCTGGGTATGTCTGAGAGAGCATGAGTGTAAATCTATGTACACATTTCTCATGGAGAAGAAACTAATATAAGCAAGTAGTATTTGATCAGGAGGCACACTGTGACGTGTTTCCTCTGCAAGTGAGACATAATAAGAAAAAGGCTTAACTGTTTTTCTGCATCCCTTCCTCAGAAGCATCAAAGCAAGAAGTTTCTATCCCACTCCATGTCTGATCTCATCTCACATTCTCACTTTTACTGAAATACTGTTTCTTCCCTTTTGCATCAGATTCTATTCACGTGTCATGTTCCTGTTCCTAGTAGACTTTCTGGACCTGAATAAGAGTCCATTGTCAGCACCAAGAAATTGGAGGAGGAATAACAAGAGCTTTGCTCTAAGCACAGTTAAAACTCTCAAACATTTTTAAAATTATGTGGTAGAATACTGCCATGCAATTTGAGAAGTGATGATTGAAACAACATATGCATTAAACAAAATTTTTCAACAGGGAAAACTGTAAGTACTGAGAAAAGATGGTACATATTTGTAGAAAAAAAAACATATTCAGAGTGAAGGAATTTTACACTTTTGACCTATTTCAAGGTAATAGCAATTTGATCTTTTTATTTTGCTAACAGTATTTTCTCTTTTTTAATACCTTAAACAGAAAGAGCGGGAGAAAGGATCTAATCTGGCATTTATGTTTCGACTGCCTTTTGCTGCTGGCAGGGTTTTCAGCATCAGTATGTTGGACACACTGCTCTACCAGGTACTACAAACAATAATTTGACTTATCTTAACACAGACATGCATTGTTATCACTTATTTTATTGCACTTATGTTAGATGACCCTGTTTTCATAAGCATAGGCCATTAATACTCGTGTCTGGACCAGGAAGAATCAAAGGCAAAAGATAATGGAGCATGTTCCACGTGACAGTACTATCTCAGTTATGAACTCAAAAATCACTCTGCCCATGCACAAATTCTGATGTTAAACAATGTAATAACTGCTTGTGAACCTCTCCACAGTCAAATAAGTGGGATAGTTTTGATAAGGCCCACATAAAATACAGATTATACAGACTAATAATGTTTGTACTCTGTGATTAAAAGGCAGCACCCCTTCCCACAAAGTAGTACCTCTAACCACAGAAATCAATAGAATTACTTTTATGAGTAATTTATCAGTCATTTGTGTTTGCTGATAGAGGCCTCAATCACTTCATTGTGTCCTGTCCTTTTACTCATGTCAACTAGACCTTTGGATGACCAGTCATCATATCTTAAAATAAACCCTTCTGGCCCTAACAAGAAATACACAGTGTGATTACAAAGAGACAATGAGGGAAGGAAAGGCAACACTGAATCTTTTTGACCAAGAATCCAGGACAGAGTTTCTCATGCAAAAAGGAAATTATTACAGTCACTGGGGCTAGGGGAATGGCAACAGGCTCAGACATCTGAAAAAACAGTATCAGAAAATATGGGATCAGGACAAATGAAAGGGAGTAAAGGAGGAGAATATTGCCCTTGCTCCTCAGCAAGGATCATCTTTCTGCAGACCCTGGTACATTGAGATGCCCAACAGCAGCCCCCACCTCTAGCTTTAAAGGATCTAGCTATACAGAATAAACAGCAATACCACCATAGCCCAAGAAGACTGCTCACCCAAGCAGTTTCCTGTTTTGCCTGCCCCTACAGGAAGCCTGTGTATGCTTTTGTGTTCAGGTGTTCAATGTTCTTTCAGGGAAATTAGTTTACTTGGTAATTTGGTGCATGAAAGGTGTTCTTCCATCTCAATTCTGCCTCTAAATAAATTCCCTGAAGGCAAATTCAAGGTAAACACAAAAATTCCTAGAGCTAAGCTTTTCTTAAAAAGTCATTAATATATTAAATAGTCATGTATATGAACAGGTACCAAATCAGATAAGCCAACAGATGTAAAACTGTTTATCAAATTCTAGATGTTTTAGAAATAAATGTATTTTCTTATAAATCGAGTTTTTAATCATGAACCAGAGTATCAGTATCACTTTTGGCAGTATTTTTAAAGAAGTAGATTAAGACTCCTATATAAGAAAAGGTCTGTCACCATCAACAGCTTCTGCCAGCTCATAAGTAACTTCAGTATTTTATACTTCAGTATTTTATACTGAAGTGCTCCTAGACTTGATCAGTCATGCTGTGACTCGACAGAGTGAAACTATTTACCAGAAAGTGTTTAAAACAAAAAAGCCCACACATTCATTCTCACTGAAATTCCGCTCACTCTTTCTTTGAACTCCTACTGTTCAGGTGAACTGTCATCTTTCTAAAATTATCTTTCTTATTGCACATCACAAATACTATGACAGCTAGTTCCCCCTGTTTTTTTCACAATCCCGTCCTTTTTTGCATGACATATTTTTATTTTACAAACAAGAAACAGAGTAAATGACATAGGAAAAAGTGAGATTCATTTGATGCTTCGTATTTTAGGCCAAAAGAAAGGCCTTTGAATTACCTTTAGGACACTGATTGAAAAATGAAAACTCAGTCTAGCAAATCCTTGTGAATAAATTTGGTATTGTAATAATTCCATAGCATAAATGATGCAGCCAAGATAACAAGTAAGTGGTTACAAAAGACTTTGTTCTTTTCAAGATGATTCTTACTGGCATTTACTCCATCATAACTGGAAGATTACTAGTACAAAAATTAAAATAGTTCAATGACTACGTATCTAATTAAATCTGTCTACCTTCTGAGTTTAAACAAATTTGGATGCTGTAATGCTAAAGGATTTATATAACACCCATGCAATTTATTTCTTTATTAAAACCTTTTTGCTAGCTTCCTATTTGCATTAAGCCAAAGGAGCTAATTGCAAGCTGTGTTGCAACAAGGATTGATAGCCTGCCTTGAGTGCTGCCCTACTACAGCTAAGAGGTGGCAATGAGCAGTCCTACCACGGTTAGCACAGTGCCCACATGGCCCTCTAATTCCAACAGCCTAACTCCTAAGGAGGAGAAATAATTGTGAGTTTAGCTGATCTAATGTCTGTTAACAGTATAAGACCCTATGTAAGCTGTATCAACCCTTAAAGAACAGATGGATTGGAGAAGGCAGATGTCTTGTTTGAATTAAAATAATAGCATTCTTACCTCAGTACAACCCACTACTCAGTACTGCAGACCCATCGAACATACAACAGCATTTCTTTTGCACAGAAGAGTGCATTATTATAATTTCACACATAGTAAAGCTAACACCTTACTGGTGTTGATCTTCCATCTATATTCATCTTTGCTTTCATGATGTCTTACTATACCTTAGTCTCTTTGAATCCTGTATGTACACTGCATGCATATGCAGAACCAAATAATAAAACTTATTTTATGTAAATAGATTCAGTACAAAGAAAGGGATAGTTATTTCTACAGTGGTTAAGATACTTGAAAGATAAAGAGATTGATTGTAAACACAGATGTAGAATTTCTTTGAAATTCACCCATGGTACCTGTGGTATCTGCTCATCTGTTCATTAAAGTTTTTTTCTTTCTTTCTTTCCTGTTAAAAATGTTGCAGTCATTTGTGAAGGATTATATGATTTCTATCACAAGACTTCTGCTGGGACTTGATACCACACCAGGATCTGGGTTTCTTTGTTCTGTAAGTTATTTTAAAAGAAAAACAATTTATTACAGAGTACCAGAGAAGATTCTGTACTGTGCAAAATACCTCTGCTTTCTGTGTATGGTATTTCCTTTTCTTTTGAAGTCCAAGAAAGGCCATCTATTCCTTTTTCACCAGGGGAGAAGACAAGAAAATGAGACAGAAAACATGCCCATTTTTAGTTAAGTTCCCTAGCCCACCCTGCAAGAAAACACACGACATTCTATAAAGCAAAAAGGAAAATAGGAAAGGCAGGAAAATGAAATAGCAATGGTAGCTCAGCAACCAATTTTAAAAATTAAGTATTTGAAAAACAGGAAGCACTACCTACATTGTGCAGCCTGGCTAGCACTTACACACAAGGCTATTTCATAACACCCTTTTCCATCCTAGGCAATAAAGGGCAGAACCGGATTTTACATAAAGATAAGATGTATTAAATGACTTTTAGATGTCAAAGTTCAAAAGCCCTCTTGTTATGATGTATGTCAGTATTGCCCAATGCAGTGGGGTTTTTAATACCCATTTTTTAATATGTATTTACACACATGCCAAAAAAAAGCAATACAAATTTATTTTTTATTAAAACCGATCTTGATTTTTTCCACACCTTTTACACCCCTGGTGGCAAAGAGGTGAAGTTACTTACCAGTTGCTTTCTGGGGAACCATAAAAAATTGCAGAATCTTGTTCCCAAAAAGGAAGTTATCAAAGATGGTTTAAGAAAGTTGTTTAAATAAAAATAGATTATGGATTTATTGGTCATTAAGCTTTGTTACAGTGAATGTGAGATGGCTGAATTTCTGATAAGGGCCTTACATATCTTGAAATAAAGCTAGTGTAATAGGAATAAAATACTTAAGATTAATTTAAGACTTTCTTATGCTATGTATGCTTACTGTATTACTTTCCTGACTCCCTTCTCCCCACATATTCAGCCTGCAGTCTAGTGAAGAGTTATCTGGCTGCATTCAAAGTACTTTTGCATTCTTCCATCTGTCCATCACCATATTCTTACTGCTGCCAATATTTAGTTTATTCTTTTATATTTTAATCAGATATGAACACTGGATGAAGGATGCTATATAATTTTTTAAGTAATTTTAAAACAAGAAGTAATTTCGTAAGACAACCATTTGCACTGCAACATCTACTGAACAGGGAGAGAACAAAAGAAACAGTGTCTACAGATTCAAGAGAAGTTCCAGTTTTCTTGCATAGCAAAGGTGCAATACTACAATATGATCATCACCAGAGAGTGTTTAGTTTTAAAAAAAATTCAAGATTAGTATATTGAACAAATTATAAGCCCTCAAGAGTTAAAAGTTCCTATTATTATTTGTTCAGATGAAAATCACAGAAGAGGATCTATGGATTAGAACATATGCCAGACTATATCAGAAACTTTGTTCTTCTACAGGAGACATTCCAATTGGAGTTTACAGGACAGAATCCCAAAAACTTACAACATCTGAGGTATGTCAGTTTACTAAACTTTTCTCTGGATTTGGTGACATAGCATACCACATACTGTGGTCTTGGAACCACATTAGGTGGTATTGTGAACACCACATGAACAAACGTACAGAATTCCAGTAACCCACTGAAGATCTCTCTCTGCTGGCACCCACATGCTTACATTAACTCAGGGCTCTTGTTCAGTCACAAACTTCATGAATACCCAGTCTACCTACTGACTTTCATTCCTGTGTTCACCTACAGAGAAATGACTGATTGAAAACAAGGGGTAGCTCAGGATTAGACAGGACAGGCTGGGATAGTGAACTCTAGTCTGAACTTGCACGTGGTGACCAATGGCAGTACCCACAGCAAGCTGTATGACCAGGTCCTGTACAGGTGTGACAAGAATGTCTACACTGTATCTCAAAACTGGTGGCATTTTGATATTCATGTGAATTTGTAAGTAGAAATGAGCAAAAAGAGAATAAGTTAATGTTATTAAAAGTATTGCAGGATTTCTCTAAATTTAGCAGCCAGACAGTGATAATTTTTCATATATATGTATTTATGTGTCTGCCATATAAATGTATACATTTCTGCCTATGTATATATATTTGTATAAAATGAATTCTACACTGTATCTCAAAACTGGTGGCATTTTGATATTCATGTGAATTTGTAAGTAGAAATGAGCAAAAAGAGAATAAGTTAATGTTATTAAAAGTATTGCAGGATTTCTCTAAATTTAGCAGCCAGACAGTGATAATTTTTCATATATATGTATTTATGTGTCTGCCATATAAATGTATACATTTCTGCCTATGTATATATATTTGTATAAAATGACATACTTTTTAGTGACTGCTTAGCATACATTTTGTTTGTGCAGCTTTTCTTTCTGTCACATTTAAGCCATTTGTTTATGTGACCATTAATACTGCCTGTACACAGGCAGCAGCTCAAAGTGCTTGAATACTTAATCAGTCAAGGCACAGATTTAGTTTGAGATGGTTACTGATTATATTTTACAAAGAAGTAAATTTCTTTAAAACATTCAGACACTGAAACCAGCCTGAAAGCCACTGTCCATTAATTAAGAGGAGGTCTATGATTGCTTCCTGCCAGCTTTACAGGTAGTCTCATGAAGAGTGAGAGTTAAATCAGGTAGAGAAAGAAGGGGGAAGAATCTCCTAGTTAGGTTTTCAAATTGTCAAGTACTGGACTAATGTGGAAGAGCAGCCCTGTCTTTGTTTATTAAATGAAGTAAAAACATTTGTTACACTTTTTAAAAAGCTTAAGGCTCTGAATGCAGACCCCCAATGAAATTTTCACACCTAAATACTTCAGCAGTTTCTTGTTTAGTGTATGAGCACTTTTTAAACCCTTTCCCCTCTAAAAAGGGGCAGAGGAATCTTGCAAATGTTACAGGAGAGCAACATCTGTCTCTGCTTCTGTGATCTATATGTGTAGATACCTACAAAGGCAGAGATGCTGGAAGCTGTCATCTTTCTTCAAATTGTTTCTTTTGAAGTTAAAGGAATTTTTTATTAATTCCATTAATAAAATAATATTAACAAGGGCTATCATTTTAGCTTTTGAATGTATTAAGCCAGAAACAACTTTAAAATATTGTTGGATGAGATCTTTACAGTGCAGGTTATAGAAATGTATATTGCAATTTTTTCACAGGAATTATGAACTTCTATCCGCAATTCAAAAGTTTCTAACCTACTGAACCTCCAATGTGTATATTTGTATTTAAACTTACATATAAAACTTAATTTGGTTTGCTCACACCTGGAAGCTGTCAGTTAATCGTTAACTTCAGTCACAATATTATTATTTCTATATGTATTGACCTCCTTTCACACCTTTTTATACTATGCATAAGAAAGCACTTCCTTCATTCTAAGAGATAAAAAATTTAATTCCTTTAAAAAGGTAGGAAGTTTTCAATGATCTAGTTACTAAATAACAAGTAAATCTAGCAGGCCTCTCAATGACCTGCACCTCTGACTCAAAAAAATTCCATTTAATATATAAAAAAAACAACCCAGAAAATAAAAAAGGAGATAGGAAGTCTTTCTTACCACTTGTGCAGCTGATGTGCTGATGTTCCTGTTAAACAGTCCATGCTTGTTTCTTTACATTCACTTGTCTAAATTGTCATCTTTTTTCTTTTTCCCCTTCCTTTGTCAGTCACGAGAAATGGCTTCACAAGTAAGTATTTGCTTCTTGTTTGCCTGTTTCTGGGTTTCCTGGTTTAAGCCCAGTAGGCAATAAGCACCACACAGCTACTCACTCTCCCCCTTTCTCCAATGGGATGGGGAGAGAGAGAACTGGAAGGGTCAAAGTGAGGCACTTCAGGGGTTGAGATAAAGGCAGTTTAATAGACAAAGCAAAAGCTGTGAGTGCAAGCAAGGCAATAAAAGGAATTCACTCTTTACTTCCCCTTGGCAGGCAGGTGTTTAAACATCTCCAGGAAAGTAGAGCTCCATCACAGATACTTGGAACCATAAATGCCATAACTCCACAAGTTCCCCCCATTTCTTCCACTTCCTCAGCTTTTAATGCTGAACACAATTCCATACAGCATGGGATATCCCTTTGGACAGTTGAGATCAGCTGTTCTGGCTTTGTTGCCCCTTCCCAACTTCTTGTGCAACCCCAGCCTATTCACTGGCAAGGACACTGTGAGAAGCAGAAAAGGCCTTGACACTGTGTAAGTGCTGCTCAGCAATAGCAAACATCCCTGTGTTATCAACACTATTTCCATCAGAAATCTGAAACAGCCTCATACAAGCTACTGTGAAGAAATTTAACTCTATACCAGACAAAAATAGTTGGTGAAGAAAAGACAGGCACGAAGAAAAAACATAGCAGGAGGGTCCTTGAGTCTGCTTTGCTTTTTTTTTTTTCTTTTTGCTGGGAGTTAAAAAGCAATGTCACTATGCTTTAAGGTAGGAATTAATTACCTCATTTGCAAGAGGCACCCTGCACCATGTTGAAGGCTTATTGCATACATCCCTATTTTCAGACACAGAAGCATTCCAGATACTGTGTGCTTGAAGGTCAAAAATGCATGGGAATTTGAGACACAAGTAACAGGCACAATCCAACTGTGGTGTTAAAAGAGTACTCAAAACAGTGCCACCATAGTTGAATTATTGGATCCACAACATATATCTAATCAGCAGTTCCAGAACTTGAATTTCTAAAAACATGCAGACTTGGAAGAAAGCAAAGAAGTCATTCAGAACAGATCATTAGATTCAGGAAGGGCAGTCTCAGAAGACTGGAGTTCTTACCAAAATGGTAACAGGCACTAAATAGCACTTAACTGCTTTTGCATTTGAGAAATGTTTTTATATCATAAATTAGCTTTTTACATAGAAAATCCAAGTCTAGTAAAAGGTGCCCAATTCAGCAACTCTTGCCAAGTATAAACAGCTGAGTCCCCTTATCTCTGTTACAACCAAAACACATGTTCAGCTGCACTGTTGAAAAGAGGAAAGAACATCTTAATTTTCTTCCATTTTTAAAAGCCCTTAATCTCTCTTATAATTTTCCTTTCAAGTCTCAAATCTCTATCAGTGTGGAAGAATGGGAAGACACTAAAGATACCAAAGAACAGATTAGTTATCGTAGTAATCATCGTAACTCAACATCTAGTGATCAGTCAGATCATCCCTTGTTACGAAGAAAAAGCATGCAGTGGGCTCGGCGGCTGAGCAGAAGAGTACCAAGACACTCTGGTAAAACAGCTGAGAAGATAAACCAGCAGCGAATGAACCTTTACAGGAGGTCAGAGAGACAGGAGCTTGCTGAACTTGTGAAAAACAGAATGAAGCATCTGGGCCTTTCTCCAGCAGGATATGGTATGGTTACTATAAATCTTTAAATTAATAAAAACATGGCTATTATGCAAGATGAACTCATTTTTAAGAACTGATGGATGCCATAAAAATATGCTATGATAATGGTTTATGATAATGGTTTAGTTTTGTTGTTATGGGTTTTTGTTTGTTTTGTTAGCTTTTTTACTGAGAGAAACTTATGGGAGTGTTTTTAATCAGTTCTATTATCAGCCATTCCTATTTTCAGATGGAAGGCTCAGAAAGCAGCAAAAACTGTCTGAGTTGCCTTTCTGTGGCCTTGGTTCTATAGCATGTTATGTGCAAACCCCCAGAATTATGGGTTCTGGTTTTCCTACAAAAAAAGAATTCTTAGATCCCAACCTATTTGTCTACATAGTAGGTCCGATATGGAGCTGAATGCTTTATACTTCAGAAGCACCAACACTGAGGTTCCCGTACTGTTTTCATTTGAAGAATCAAAAATGTACTGCTTTCAAGTGTGTTACTCTTCATTTTTCATCACAATTATTTTCAAATTTGACTCATGCCTAAAATATCCATAAACTGAAGGTAGATGTATTTAATTCAGAATGGATATTTTTATTTGTCCATTTTAGCTACACACATCCTTAATGGAGGTTCAAAACATCTTTTAACACCAATAGCAATGTATTACCCCAACAGTAGTTCTTATTGTTGGTACTGATGCAAAGTCAAGTACATTGTGAGAGAAGGCTGCTACAGAATAGATGGTTATAGTTTTGTTAAGTCTTTACATAATAGGTATGTAAATTCAAGCTTTCTAACCCACACTCCAACTGGATAATTACTATCCCTGCTTTTTTTATGGATACTACATGATTCTCTGCGGGAAGATCCAGGACTAAATGTTTTCCAGGATTGACACAGGCTACAGTAACATTTAATGTAACCACAAAGTAGTTTTGTAAATTTGATTTATATTTATATTAATATAACACAAAAACTTTGTTGTACTCCTGCATGTCTTTCAAAATCCTAAAAGCCAACATTAAATGCTCATTTCATTATTTAAATTCAGGAAGATCATATACCATTGATACACTGCAGAACAGTAAAATTTTTATGAGTAAATGCTTCACCTGAAGAAAAAAACAAAGTGGAAAAAAAAAAAGTTTCTACTTTTACAACTCCAAGAACATCCACATTCCAGGAAAAAAAACCCAACAAAAACAACTAAACAAAAGCCCCTCAAAGAATCCCAAGCCAGATTTACATGTGCAGTCAGCTGCAAACTTGTGTTGTCACATTCCCACTGCCACCTCTCTACCCTCCTCCCTCACATTCAGAAAGAAATTTCAGAGTGCTCTCACCCCTTTTCAGAGCTGGTTCACACACACTTACCCTACTACATATTAAACATGGAATAGAAATGTTAAATCTCATTGTTCTTTCAAACTAACAGGAATCAATCATTCCAGTTAGTACCATCTCTCTGCATGTGCAGGGAACAATGAAAACAAAAAAAACCCCACAAAATTAAAAAAACCCAAAATGACAGCTGCTTATGTGTCTCCATTGATCTCTAAAGCAAATTTCACATCTTCAGTGTCCTTTTTACACTGATAACCTAATAACCTCTAAGACCTCCAAATTTCATGTCAGGTAACTGAATTAATTTAAGCCAATAGAGAAACAACACAGATTTGATTATGCAAGCCTTTAGCAAAGGTGTGATGATAGTAAGGTAGTGTGGGTCCTTATATAACTAGTTACAATACTTCACATCAGCTTCACCTTACAGAAATAAGCATATAAGGTGTTATAAAACACCATTTTAGCTGTATAACCACAACGATACTGAGTGTACATGAGCTGATACAGTTATTTGCTAGACAGAGGTACTTATGGTGGTACAAAGCGTGATACAAATATGTAGAAAAGTTATACATACTAGAAATACCCAATACAGTAGTTTGCAACCTCCAGACACTCTATCAAGAATACTTAATTAATGAAAGATCTAGGAATTGCATTTAAACTAGAATGGGGCTGTTCTCTTTCAAGTAATTTTTCTTAAACTGCTGAAGAGAGATATTAATGTAGAAGAAAGGCCTCTCCTTTTTAGTCTTGTCAAATAAAAAATACTCTGACTGCAGCACCCCAGGAAGTGTAGCAAGTGAAAGCTATTCAAAAGGTACTGCAATACAGCTACGAAAGTGTAGCAAGACTCAGCTAGGCAAAAAACCTTAAAAGTTTTCGGCCATAATTTGCAGCTTACCATTAGAAGAATAGTTAAAAATGCAAGAAATAAATACCAAATTCCATTTATACGGCATTCATATTCCGACCCAGGTGATAAAAGGAAAATACTTACTAGAAAAATAGGGAAGGCAGGGGAAAAGGTTTATATTGATGAAATCTGGAAATGGATGAGAATGCCATACATCTGCATTTAACCTTGCTCATCACTTGAACTCAATGCCAGCTGAGGATGGAAGTCCCTACTTCCCACAAACTAACATAAGCTGTGTGACACATCGATAAATTTCACTAAAATTGGATTATGACTGAAAGACATGCAAAAGAACAGTTTTAGAACTTTCAGAGAGAAAGCAGGCTATTTTGAGTGCTGATACCTCAAAAGATGCTGTATCAAATGGTCCCAATTAAAGTACAGTTGAAAAGAAGTTGCTAACCTTACCTGAAATCACCTTAACACATCACACTTTTTTGACAGCTTTATGAACCAAAGCTGGTATTTTATCACATTAGTTTTTCAGAAATCATACTTTTCACAATGTTTTTAGAAATGTATTGAATTTGGTATGTTGGTTTTTTTGTCCTCTAGATGAAATGAATGATCACCAGAACACCCTTTCTTACATCCTGATCAATCCTTCTCCAGATACAAGATTAGAGCTGAATGATATAGTGTAAGTTAATGCACAAAAAAAACCCCAAAAAAACCACAAGATCTGCAAAATGTCTTGTTTGTACTTTCTGCCTTAATTTATTATCTTTCTGCTGGAAAAGAACCCCAAACTTTCCCATGCACCTGCAAAAAACAAAAATATGGAGACTTCCATTTAAATAGATACCTAATTATACATATATGTGTATATTTAAAATACACATATAAATATATAATATATATATTAGTGGTGCTTCCGGCTCTGTATTCTTTCTCTCACTCTGTATTTTAAAAAATAAAATAGCTCCCAGATTCCTCAAAAGAATTAAGAATCTTATTAAATTCTTGCTTGTAATTTAGTTACCCAGGCCTATAGAAATAGAAAGATCAAGCCTCCAAAATCATCTGTTGTCTTGTCTTCTCTTTAGGAGCATATATGTCCTGGAAAGCATTGGTAGTTCACAACACTGGTATGTTAGTTCTGTAGCAGCACAGCTACTGCATCAGTCCCAAAAGCTGTCTCTCAGATCAGAGAGTCTGTCACCTGAGCCAGCTGACAAAACAGTGCAGAATTTACACTTAAAAATTAATGGGAGGCTCTTTCATCCTTAGAAAAGCAGTTTCATCCAAGAAAAGCAGTTATTTTAAACATCTCAAACTTAGATTCAAACTCAAGAAGCATTTTTCTCAAGTATTTGAGTCTACCAGAAGTTCTTAGAATACAGGTTCATCTTCAGACTGTCAGCCCACAAGAAGGCCTTTTATTTATTAACCACAGTGAAAATAATTACCCATTGGTTTTCTCATAAAATTATTTTAGAAATTTAGGCTCTGGGGACTGCTTGTCCCTCTTTAAGGCATTAATGAGGGAAGGAGATGTATAAAGTAATACAGAGTTACTGACAAAGGAGCTGTCAGTCAAAATAAAGGTTTAGCTGTGCCTAGTACATACAGATGGTGTCTAGGCAGACAAACCATGATAGGCTTTATTAGTAGCATCTAAAGTAAGTGGTGTTATCAAGTGTCCAAGTTACCCAACAGGAACTCAGCTAAGCACCTTGAAAATAAACCTCTGAAGTCTTCCTCAGATCTTTTCAAGATTACATCTATATGCACTTCTTTTTTTCCTTACTCATGCCAAGTAATTTTAATACAAGATATGTTTTCTTTTTATAGATACTTGATCCGGCCTGATCCATTGGCTTATGTTCCAAATACTGCCTCCAGCAGAAAAGACAGCTTCTGTAATACAGTGGGACAAGACACCAGGGAGGAAACACAGCTCTGACATGTAACTCATCACAAAATTAAGAGACAATTTTATATGTGTAATGTTTCAACTAACCATTTTGAAAATGGAGTGGTACATTTTGTTCAGATTTTGGAAACAAAATGATGGTGGGTAAGTGTCCAAATCTAGAAAAGTGGTGTCTAGAAACTCTAATTTAAGGTATTTTCAGGCTTGTAGCCTGTTCAGTATGGTAGTTGAACAGTCAGCTTAACAGAATTATGACACCTCTTACTGTTTAACCAATATAAACTAATTATTTTTAAAGTGACAGATTCCATCACATCTTGCTTAGAAGCATCTAAGTATATTTATCAAGGTGACAGCAAGTCAGTGGCTAAGCTTCTGATCTACATTAGTAAAGATTATCTGCTGTCCCTAGGGGCACCATGCATAATTTGTAATAAAAACGTGTTAATATCTAAAGGTGCCAACAAGACTTTGTGTGTCAAGAATCTAGCCTTTGAGAAAATGTTCAGTCTCAGCCTGTCACCCATAGGCACTGGGACAGGCTACCTTCTGCCCCATTTTAGCCTCCAGGACTCAACCCTTAGTTTACACAGATGAGGTTGTGATGACACAGCATCGTCACACCATAGAGGTTGAGAACTGAGGCATATCAAAGGAGCTCAAAGGAGCCCACCTGGAGGAAAGTCCCTATCATCTCACACAGGCAGCCACCGACAATTGCAGAAATTGGGAAGGTACTATCTGTGTGAAGCTGCAAACAATGGTAGCTCAGGTGAAGTATAATACTTTTAGCCGTAGTGATTTTTTCAGTAGAAGCCTGAATAGATTATGATACAGAAGTGAGAGCATCCCTCTAGGGAACGATTCATACCACAAGTTCTTTCAGTTTCCAAAACTATGCGTGCATATGAACTGCAACTGTCTAAGGCATGTACATGCCCAGTCATTCATATTATCCAAATTTGATACATTTTCATATGAAATTATGTATCACTTTGAAAATTAAAGAAATGCATAGCCCATTCCATGAAAGGAAGGTAATACCACCTTACATGATGAGGCACCATAGATTTAGAGACTCCCTTTGGCATTAAGTACACAAGAAAGCACCTCTTGGTGTACAAAATATCTGAAGTGCTACATAATAGTTAAGCTGCACATACAAGAATGCCACAATTGGTCAAGCTTTCTACAAAATTAAGCATGCCTCTATATGACCTTACAAAATCACATTCTTGCTTTGCCATCTGTTACAAAGGGGGAAAAACATGCTTAAGGGAACATCTCTACTGTTGCAAATATCTATATGGAACTGGTAGAAGAAATTTGCAAAAAAAAAAAAAAGTTGTTATTATTTGAATTCCCTTGATGTCCTACATGTACAAAAGTTGACTTAAAAGTTGTTTATACAGAATATCTACATTTTTTTTTCTGAAAAATAAAATACCAAGTTGCCCAGTGAACAACCATGGATGTGAGTATGCTTATCAGCTTTGTAAGGATGTTGAAATCAAAACCCATTCATATTAAGAATGACAGCAAATCTGCTATTGTTCCCTCCTTCCCTGTTAGTTCTTCCAAAACTTAGTACTCTGTTACTTATTAAGCCAGAAATCCTGAAGCCACAATGATAAAAAAATCTGCAGAAGTCTCACAGAATGGACTGAAGCCATCAATACCAAGAGCACTAGATTTAAAAGGAAAAAGGGTAACTGGAAAGTAGCGTTTCTCAACATTTTTTTTAAATTCACAAATTAAAGTAGCATCATGGTTCAGAAGAGTTTCAGTGATTCTGAATAGTGTCCATTATTGTTCAGTGCTTTTACACACACACATTAGTAATTTATCAAATTATTCACACATAAAGCATTTCAAATGTTCTTCCTGGGCACTTTGGAAAAAAAGAAACAACTGCAACAGCTACGCAGACTGAAGTTTACGATTTTTTTACAAATCTTGTTCAGGAACTTGTCCAAGACCTGTCACAGAAGTTATCCCAGAAGAGACTGCATGTACAATGTGAATAACTTCCTATTTTTATTGCTTTCAGTGAGAAGACTGCATTCCAGTAGAGTATTTAAAAAAACCAACCAACCCTCCAAAAAATCAAAATAAACAACCACAAACAAACCAAAACAAGAAAACAAGTTTCTTAAAAGTGTTCCCTGCAAAATATTAGGAAGATCCTTTGTTTCATACTGAAGGCCTCTCTAATTGAGTCTCAGGTAGGCAGATAGAATTCCCCAAACATGCCTACCCTTCACCTGGCAAGTGAGATAACTATTCCATTTCAGTTTCAGAACATGCATTAATTCAAATAAAAAGTAGAGAGCATATAACTCGAGTTTTTAAGACCTGCAGAAGAATGAGTTAGTGAAGTTTTGGGGATATTATGACTTGAAAAGGAGCAGGTATTTCCCAGCATACATATAATTATACATTTTTGTTTACAAATTCACCGATAAAATGCTAAAGAACAAATAGATTTCAAACTTCAGCAGTGCAGGAAAACTGAAATGACAGCAAGTGCACCAGAAGTAACATACACTTCTGTAGTTTCTAGGCAGCTAGGGCTGACAGCAACCACTCTAATTTTGGAACACTGATGCATGAGGTTTTGATGCATTGAATTTCACTTGATATCTGAGGGAAATCAGTCACTAAAATCTGGAAATGAATTAATAAAAACAAGCAGCACCATGCAATAGCATTGAGTTGTACAAGGTTATAAAAAACACTTTTTGAAGACAGTGATATAAATGCAGAATTATAAAATAAAGCAACCTGAATAAAATATTGTCACATATTCTTTATATGATATGAGAAACAGCCCACCCGATTTTGAAACAGACATATATGGAATAAATGTGTCAAGACCAGCACTTCAAATTTGCAGCCAGTGTTCCTTGTGCTTGATGCAGAATACGCATTGTAGCAAGACAGGAAAAGAGTTATTAATGCCTATGAAGTTACAAGAGCTGACCGAGCCTTTGCTTATGGTCATCTTCTGAAGTTAATCCAAAATATGAAAGCTGCTTTTGTTATATACTTCATTACTGCCTACACTACTAATGCAAGAATGCTATCTTTAATAGTAATTCAACACAAGCATGAACTCCCACAGCCTCTCAAGAAGCTTAAAAATGCAAATATTTCTGCTTCATAAAGTTAAGAACAAGCATGTGAAGTTTCTATGAACTAAAGTTTCCTGTTTGATCTATAAAATCTAGATTGTATACTTCTACGAAAATTCACAAGTGGCCCTTGCCAGCCAAAGAGAGCTGTGAGGACACAGATTTAAAAGATTAAATACTTATTCACGTGCATGAGGTTTCCTTGCCAAATCAGGGCACCCCAAACGTGATTCTCCATAGGACTCTTACACCTTCATAGAAATCAGGTACATCATTTGACTAATCACTAACACCTACACTATCAATTGCTAATCGTCGCAAAACTTTTCTAAATAATTTCCTATTTCTTCTTTTGTCCTTTCACCAGGATGGGCTGGCTGATGAATGAAACTAGTTTCTTCAGCAATTGTATGGCTTTTAACAGTTCAATACTTACTCCCACTAGAAATCCAGTGCTCTGGCAGATCCCGAATGCAAACAGAGAATCAATATAATTACAGTATTTTCTTTGGACAGCTGGCAAGTCCTCCTTAACACAATCAATTCTGCTGCCTGTGCACTCAGTTTCAGACTGAGTGGTGAAGCCTCCACTACTTTATCTTTACTAGTACTTTTGCTGTGCCTTTGCAGTGTTTTTGGCATATCAAACACTACTCTGTATCAAGCAACTTCAATTTCCAGACTGACCTCTTCAAATAATTTATTCATGTGTCTTGAAGGGAGAGGAATATATTGCAGCGTAAGAGCAGCTCTCTGGGTCATCTGAAAACAACCCCGGTTATAAGCGCAAGTCAATATAATATCTAAGGCAAGAGATTACTTTTTAATTGGATTGCACTGGTATTTGTTTTCTTCTATACTTTGGATGAATAAATCCATTAGAAAAATAAAACTGCACTGAATAGGTGCAGAACAACGGGAGTATCTCTACACACTGAACCACACAAACGGTTGTTCTAAATCACATAAAATTTAGCCTGAAGTTTTATACTCTTCTCCAACAGCTTCTAAAATACAGAACTCCCTAAGATAAAGATCAAGGCACCAAATCTGAAATATAGATTCTTTTAGTTCTGTATTTTGACAAGCAAAACAGTAAACAACATGCCAGCAACCATAAAGACAATAACAAAGGTTAGCTTTTTTGAGGCATAACTTTGAACTATTTCTGGATGCATAACATATCACATTTTGCCAGCCAACATCAGGACTGGAAAACAGAAATCTTGGGCTTGCATTTTCTGAGATTAGTCTTACCTGAATGCAGGAACCTGATGCAGAAAAGTTATTTTTCCAGTATCCATCCACCCACAGCAGTAAGAGTAATTATGACAAATTGAAGACTTTCTTGAAAAAAGTGAGTTCCAGAGGAGAGAGGGCTCAAACCTCTCCTAGAGGGACCACAACCCCTTCCATGACTGTTTGTAAATCACCCCAATCAGAAGACTCACCTGTGTCTGCAGCCAGCCTAAAGAACCAGCATCATGTCTTACACAGTCCGTATAGATTTCATTTGCAAAACAAAATTTAAAGATTTCCCCAAAGCACAACAAAATAAACGTGAATTTCAAGTCCTTTTGTATGTGACTAATGTGGGGAAAAAAAGAAAGATTCCCACACTAATATAGAAGCAAATCCTACTCACTTCTTAAAGACTATTTATTGTTCTGGGGACAAATGAGAAAGTTTTGAAAGGGCTTAGGATATACTGCAGAAACAAAGCAGTACTTAATGGCTTGTTCTCTCTTTCTGGTGTCAGAAACACATCCTTGGTTGTTAGAGCCCGCATTATTCTAACTCCATAGTCATAAGCATATACATTTGTACACAATCAGTAAACTTCTCCACGTAAGCACTCTTTTTCAGACTTAGCTAGAAAATTTGCATCAGCAAGTA